TTAACTACACGTTTAAAAAACTAAATAAATTAAATATAAACAGATACATGTTATTTGTTTATATTAAAATTGAACAAGATTCAACAAGACAAAATTCAACTGACCTTTCTTTCCAATTATGAAACCAACATGTACATGGCCTTGTCTACATTTTTGAAATTACCACTACGAAGTTTGTCCCGTTTAGATTTTGTGCCATTTTTTTCCAGTGAGGTTAATAACTTGGTTTTATTTTTAATCCAGGTTGATAATGTGTTCTATGGGACTCCATACTTTTTGGCAACCTCTTTGTTAGACATCCCTGTCTCTAGGTTTTTTAATGCCTTGCATTTTTCTATTATAGATTTGTTCGTGAGTTTTCGTTTAGCAAGTGGCATGTTGTTGCATTTGACAAAAAGAATAAATTAATATATTAAAAAAATAATATTAATATATAAAAACTTTTCAGAAATTCAATTCTTAAAAAAAATCGAATTTAAAAATCGAATTAAAATTTTTTTTTTTCGAAAATTGGAATTTAAAAAAAATTAAATTTTATTAAAACATTTTTGAAAAAAAAAATGTTGAAAAGTTCGAGATAACGAGAGAAAATTGCCCTGTGGACCAAAAATATTGTTCGAGATACCAAAAAGTTCAAGATATTAAAGTTCGAGATATCGAGAGAATTTTAGCCTAAACTAGTACGTTTTATCCATTGGACCGCTAAAAAAGATCGAGATCAAGTATTCGAGATATCGAGAGTTGACTGTAAAAAGAAAATTTTTACTAACGCTCTGTTAAGCTTAACGGAGAGATGAGTATACAGCTGCTGAGTTTGAAGCAGTTGTGTCAAAAAACAATCCAACTATATTATCTGCTAAATCCGATTGCTTTAAAAAAATGTAGTTGTGGCTTGACTAGGCTCAGTGCTATCCACTATTTCTTGAATGCCTAACAATTTACCTTGCTTGTAGCCTAGAGTTCCTGAAATTATTATTGCTAATCTATCTAGTTGTTTCTTTTGAGGGTCCTAAATCACTTTCACATCCCTGTGCAAAATACAAAATTCAAGAGCCACAAACTATGATTTTATTTCATCTTCTTATTCTTTTGACGATATTGATGACACAAAGTTTTTGAATTTGTCTAAATCAACTCCAAACAATTCTTTCTTAGGCTTCTTAGGGGAAGAAATTCTTCAACTGTGTAATCTAGATTATCATCTTCTCCGGAATCTTTTAAAATCACTTGTGTTGATTGCTCAATAAATTTATTTCCTGCATACTTTTCACTCGATTGTTTCTTTTTTTATAATTTTGCAATTTTCTTGTATAATCTGTTGTGTTTTCTATTTTTTGTTATTGAACTATTTGTTTTATTTATGTGTCTATTTTCTTGTACCTTTAGATTAGTACAATTATTGTTAAATAAAGCCTTAATCAAGAGGTCAATCTTTTTATTAGTTCATTACAATTTATTTAACAAACATATAAAATTATTGGGAAATGTCAAAGATCTTAAAACCAACAAGGCTTGATCTTGATCATAATGCACCAACTGCTTCAAAAGAATGGAAGCATTGGAAACAAACATTTGAAAATTTCATTGAGGATTGTGGAAAGGATGCTCCTGACAAATTTTGCTTCATCATTAATTTTGTTTCATCAAATGTTTATGATTACATTGAAGAGTGTGATTCCTATGAAAGTGTAATTGAAACCCTAGAAAACTTATATATAAAACCCCTAATGAAATTTTTGCAAGGCATCAATTACTTATAAGACATCAAACATCGAGTGAATCCTTAAAAAACTTTCTTCAGGAACTACGTAAACTCAGTAAAAACTGTAATTACAAGGATGTTTCAGCTGAACAATATCGAGAGGAACAAATAAGAGATGCTTTTATTTCTGAAATAAATTCGAATTACATTCGTCAACGACTTCTTGAAAATTCAACATTGAATTTGCAATCAGCATTTAACCAAGCTCGTTCTCTTGACATTGTACAAAGAAACTCAGATTCTTATATGCAGAAAACATCCTCCTTTTCCTCCTTTTTAAATATTGCTGCCGCTATAAAATTACCAGAAGAACCCTCAGCAGCACTCAATGCCATGACTATTATTCCTCAAACAAAATGCATTTATTGTGGTAATCCATCTCACAACCAACGTAATCAAACCTCTGCTAGGAAAAATTGTCCAGCTCAAAATGTAACCTGTTTTAAATGTGGAAAAAAAGGTCATTTTTCCAAAGTTTGTCTTGGCAGGCCGATGAATATAACCCACAGTGTTTCAGCTGCAATACATAAACCAAGTTTGTGTACTGTTTCAAGTGGTTGTCCGTTGAGCCTCTCTCATGCAGCATGCATGCTGTTATTGTCAGAATTAATGATGAACCGTTAACTGCACTAATTGATTTCTGTAGCTCAGATAATTTTATAAGTAAGAAAATTATCGAGACTTTAAAAATAAAAACAATACCCAGTAAAAAGAAAATTTTGATGGCCCTCACAACAATGTAGTCTGGATTAGTGGGCTGTTGTTCGGTTAATCTTGAAGTAAATGGTTTATTTTATAATAATGTTCAATTTGGTGTCTTAGAAAATCTTTGAAGTGATATCATACTTGGTTACGACTTCCAAAAACTACACAAAAATTTAATATTCTCACTCGGTGGAGAAAAAAAAGACTTAATTGTCACAAAGGAAAGTAACCTATGTGCACTGCAAATGGCAAAAATAAAAATACTATCCTTGTTTACAAGCATTTCAGACAAAACTCAGCCAATAGCTACAAAATCAAGAAGATATAATAATGATGATCGAAACTTTATTGAAAGTGAAATATTGCAGTTATTATCGGATGGTATAATTGAGCCATGTTTCTCACCATAGAGAGCCCAAGTAGTGGTCGTAAAGGATCTTACTAAATCTAACAAAAAAAGACTTTGTATTGATTACTCTCAAACAGTTAACCTTTACACTGAGTTAGATGCATATCCTCTTCCCAGAATAGATGATATGATAAATGAACTTGCAAAGTACAAAGTATTCTCTACATTTGACTTGAAAAGTGCTTACCACCAAATCCCTATTAAAAATTCAGACAAAAAGTATACAGCATTTGAAGCAAATGGGAAACTATTTCAATTTTGCAGGATTCCATTTGGAGTTACTAATGGTGTGTCTATGTTCCAAAGGTCTATGGACAAGTTTGTTGAAGAAGAAAAGTTACATGACACTTTTCTATATCTTGACAATATAACCATTGGTGGTTATGATCAGGCACATCAAGATAAAAATTGTCTGCAGTTTCAAGATGCTTCATAACGTTGGGGTCTAACTTTAAATGAATCAAAATCAGTTATTTCAGCTTCTTCTATAAACATTCTTGGTTATTGCGTTAGTCATAACAACATAAAACCAGATTCTGAGCGATTACATCTTTTAGACTTACTACCTCCTCCTTCTAACATTTTATCACTTCGGCAAACTTTGGGTATGTTTTCTTACTATTCAAAGTGTATACCTTCGTTTGCTAATAAAGTTCGGCCTTTAATTAATGTTAAATCCTTTCCTATCAATAGTGAGGCACTTGAAGTATTTCAATTTCTTAAACGAGCACTTCATGCTGTCACTTTGAGTTCTATTGATGAGAGCTTACCTTTTGTTGTTGAATGTGATGCATCAGATGTTGCCGTATCAGCTACCTTGAATCAAAATGGTCGTTCCGTTGCCTTTATGTCTCGAACATTAGGCAAAAGGGAAATCAATTACCCATCAGTAGAAAAAGAAGCTGTTAAAATTTTTTCCAGGGCAGATGACCAGAGGCTCCATGGCTTGGGGCACTGGGGCCATGCCCCACTTATTTTCTCAAAAAAATTTTTTGTTTTATACTTGTTCTGTTTTATTTAATTATTTACAAAGTAAAATACAAAAATATATAGTTTCAGTTAACATCGATTTAACATTCATCTTAACATGATTTACTTAGATGCGCAAATGTCAAAGTATACATACATCCAACTGTTGTTACTGGTGTATCAATGATACAAATTATGTTTGTAATTGGAACCCAACACTCATCTGCTCTAGATGGCCAGAAAGGTTTGTTAAAAGGACCATGCAAGTGCATAAATGTTACCATAACATCTTGCTCAATATTTTCAATTTCATTTATCATACCAATCCAATGAAATGTATCATACTTACACAATAAATTCACTAAATTTTAATGTATTGATGTTAATTAGTTGATTAGGTTGAATACTTTGAATACCAGAAAAAGAAAGCATGCCTGTTATATTAATATCTTTACTTTTCTGTTTAAAGCTAACAGTATCTATAGATTCTGGATTAAATTGATGATAAAAATACCATCCTATCTGATCATTGTTATGTAAATAGATAAAAGAAATGTTTCCTTAATTTCTTTTTTACAACGGGTTCATCAAAAAGAAATATTAAATTAAAAACAAAACAAAACAAAAAAAAACAATTTATGATATATATAAATATTGAGTTTTTTTTTAACTAATGTACATATTTATGTACATCAGTAAAGATGGATTAATCTTTTAAACAGTTTATGTAAGAACTTCATACTAATCTATTTCACTGCAATAATTCTTTCTTATTAGCAACTTTGCTTATTGGAATTCTTCTAACTTTTTTGTTTACGAATTGTAAATTAAATTAAAGTTTTGGAATTGATAACTCATTTGTCATGGAATAACCGGGTTTTTTTTTTTTTACTTAAAATTTATATTTTACAAACCACTATACATTTTTGTATAATTTATTGGTTTCGTTTTTGTTTAATTATTTGTAATGTAATCTAAAAAGATTTAAATATATTACTATTAATATTATTACAAGAAAAGTTGATTATTTGATGTCTAGAAATAAATTTAAATTTTTGAATCACTTAGATGATTTAATTTCTAATACTAGAATCTTTAAAAGGTAATGCAATATATTTTTTCTCTGCAATATATTTTTTTCACTTTATTCATTAGATCTGCAATTGTTGATTCACCAAGAAACATTTTCTTCAACAAATGGTAGTTTTATTTTTTTTTGTAATAATTCTTGTAATATATTTTTCTTGTAATTATTTTATGATGTTGTTTATCATAAAACCACTTAATTACAGATGATACCTAATTAAGAATGGTTTTATAAAAAGCTATGTATCGGGATGTATGTATATGTAAAGGGATCCCAAACTCCCAACACATGTTGTGTTTATATTAAAGATAATGTTAAAAAAAAAGGTTTGAACCAAGTTTTTTTGATTAAAAATAAATAATGAATGCATACCAAGAAAAACTAATGTTGTTGTTTTAGCCAAAACTCGCTTTCTCCATTTTTTTCAATAACTTGGAGTCTTTAAATTATAGGTCGCAATCTACAGACTTTGGCGATTCCTTTGAAGCGCGTTTAATTCAAGTTTTAGCATTTGATGTCATGGTAGATTTTTAACAAAAGAAAAGTGTAATTAAACAAAGCTGCGTTTTTCCATTATAATTCAAAAAAAAATTTTTTAACATAGAGCAAAACTACTTTTACAACAAATTTTTGTAAAAATCAAAAATAATAAAAGCTTTTTATTTTATAAGAGAAACTTTTTTTTTTACAAATATCTTAATAATTTTTAGATTTATATATCTTACTTATATTTCTTTTGTTTTTAAATTAAAACAAATATTAAAGCTTTACTTACGAATCTTATGATTTTCATACGAGTGTTTTACAATATATAGAAGGTTATGTATACGGTCTCTCGTTTTTGTGCAAGAGAGCGCAGTAGTATATATTCTGAATCTTACTTATTTTTATTTAAACAATGGGAACTTTTTTCTAACTTCTGGTTATTTTTACACTATGATATTTTTTGTTTTCCCGTCAAAAAAAAGTATTAACAATTAATTTCATAAACTGACAGTATTAATTAGAGATATTTGATGAATTGTTAACTTTTTTTTATTATAAAAATTTTTTGATTATGCTGATTTATTTTAAATTACTAAATTTGCTAAGTTGGATACGGATAAAAAAGAAATATCTAAATAAGTAAAATAAAAATTTTATTTTACATTTAATTTTTGATAATGAAACTTTTAAAATGTCGGCAACTCCATACCAATTAAAACCTGTTAAGGTTATGAAAAAAAAGTACAAGAATACACTAAACAATACAGTTGACAGTAGTATCAGATATGAAAATTCGTGAAAGGATATGTGAGATCCTGGTTTTGCATTAAAAGTACAATTAATAGCAACACAAGTCGGCGTTATAAATTTTGATTATAAGTTTACTGTTCAATATTTTATAACCATCAAATAAAAAACATGAAGTTTGTATATTTTCGCCTATTTTATGCAACTAATATTTAACAAAAATACGGACAAACTATTATTATATAATGCAATAATTAACATATTAATTAATGGAAATAATTCAAGATAAATGGTAATTTAAATTGTCAAAATGTCATAAAGCGCGTTAAAAAACATATTATATTTGGTATTTCCTAATTTGTATTGTATTTGGCATTTGTCTCTTAACATAAAAAATTTAAAAAATTTTAAAACACAACAAATACAAATTTTCAAGCAATTTTCTTTTCCAATTTTCATTTATTTAAAGAAAAGTTACTATTAAACTTTTATTCCTCTCATCTAAAAAAAGAACGAGTGACGCAAAAAAAATAAATATTCTATACAACTCTTATTCATTCGAAGTTTAATTACGCAAAACTTTTCTTTCTCTTTTGTTCTACTCTTTTATAAAAAGAGCGAGCGATGAAATAAAAACTTTTCTTTCTTAACATAAATTTATACTTAGAGATAAAATTAAATTAGAAATAAAGCAACAATGAGCAAAGCAGCTAACAGATTAATCTGGGACTATTTTGATATTAATGAAAATAATCAACATAAACAACATTACCAACAGCAATTATCAAATAAACAACACAATATCGCATAATTTTAAGGTTTTTTTATTTTTATTGTTTATTCGTTCTAAATAATAAGTAAATTTAGTTCAAGTTAATATTTCAATATTTACAGTTGCAATATTATAAAGAAATTATGTTTAATGTTGAACTTTTTATTTAATAATTTATTTTTTACCTACATTTGTTATAAAAAACTTTTAAACCCCCGTCATTAAAATAATTTGTTTTAAATATATTTCAAAGTGATTATTCAAACTAATTTTTTTCGTTTGACTTCCCGAACTTCATGCAAAGCAAATTGAGATGAAATATTATTTAACCAAATAAAAATGCTTTTACTAATTTTATAAGGGTAATTAATGTAAAACAATTTTTTATCAGAGTCTTGATTAAGATAATAAACATTCATAATTTATAAACATTAAATATATGGCGCAATAACAATTTATAGCAACGAACCAGCATAAAATATTTGAGGTTTTTAATATCTTTTTAAATGTTAAAAATAGAAAAAAAAAAATTTAACAAATAGTCAAAAAAAGTTCGAATAAAAATAAATAAAAATATTTCCAGAGTTTCATTTGTTAAAAGTCTACCGTGGCGTCAAATACTAAAACTTTTATGAATTAAACGCGCTTCAAAGGAATCGCCAAAGTCTGTAGATTGCGACCTATAATTTAAAGGCTCCGAGTTATTGAAAAAAATGGAGAAGGCGAGCTTCGGCTAAAACAACAACATTAGTTTTTCTCGGTATGCCTTCATTATTTATTTTTAATCAAAAAAACTTGGTTCAAACCTTTTTTTTAACATTATCTTTAATATGAACACAACATGTGTCGGGAGTTTAGGATCCCTTTAAACTCAACAAATCAATCAATAAAAAAACAACTCAAAAATATATTTACAATCGTGTTAGCTTTCAACTTGAAATCTAAGAAAATTAAATTAACAAAAAAAAGATAGATAAATAACTTGGTTTTGCAAATAAAACTGAAAATTGTATAAACACTATTTTGTTCCAAACTTGACACTGATTAATGTTATGCAAAAAAAAAAATTGCAATAATGTTAATATTTCCCTAAATATATTTAAAATAAGTCAAAAACAAGCACACACAAAAAAAGATACCTAATTCCGGATACAGGTAATTAATATTTATTCAAGCTTAATTGTGTGTAAAATATGTTAGTTTAATTCCTGAGACAATATCCTGCCATGTTCAGAGATCTTGTCAAAAAAAATCATTTAAACCTGGAAATTGCCGTAGTGGCTTTAGCAGTAGTGGTTTATTTCCACTTGATCTATCGAAAATTTCTTCTGAAAAACTGCAATAGGCAAGGTTTTTGAAGATGAGAACATTAATAGTTTATTTCAAGCTGTAACCAACACTCCTAAAACACCATTGAGTAGAATGTCAAACTGAGAAGTGTTACTTAGAAGTTTAGATACAATAAATGAAACAGTTAAAAAAGCCGGAAAAGACATCAACCAATCAGTTTTAATATTGCTCAAAGATCAACATACACCTTTAGATAATAGAAAAAAGAAAAGCGAATCAAAGGGCCAGCCAACAAAGCTGAACAAGAATTGAAAAAACAAAAACTAGACAAACAAGCTGCCAAAAAACTATCTAGAGAACAAAATAAATTTGCTGCTGCGTCTCAAAAAAAAGAAAATGCAAAAAAAAGATACAAAGCTATTGAAAGCAAGTCTAAAACAAGCCAAAAGCTTGTAAAATAACAGTTTGGTTAATTAATTTAATGAGTTTATATGTGTGTTTTTTTATTTTGTATCCATCTGGTTTAGCTTAATACTATCCTAATTCGGGATAAAAACAAGTTTTTTTAAAAACTTAAGTTTAATTAAATTTAAAATTAAAATACTATTATTTTTTTATATCGTTCGATTTGTCTTGTTGCTGCACATATTTTAGTGTTTTTTTTTTTTCAAAATCAGTTATAATAAGCGAGATATTTAATTTTTACTTCAAAACATCCGTAATAAGGTAGTTTTACGGTAAATGACATTTAATTTTTTATTTTTAAGTTCTCTACATTTTATAGTAGCTACTAAGCAGAGGTGTAGAGTACCAAAAAAGACTCCAAATTTGGAAGTCACAAAAGTTTCACTCCAGTTTTTAACTGAAGTAAAGTCTTTTTTAAGTTTTAAGCATTGAACCCTGGATTTCTTATTTCCAAAGTATCAACTCTGTCATGATTGCTATAAGTAGTTTAAAGTGTAATATACCTTTCCTTCCAGTTCCTTCCAGTTTGCTACTGTTTACAGATATATCTGGAAAAACAATTCCAAATATGTCATATGAAGATAGCGCACAGATTTTAGAGAATAATTGATATTGTTAACAATTCAGCAGTATAACTAGGTTTTGCAAAAAATGCAGAATGCAAAAAGAATATATAAAAGTATAAAGAAAATTGAAATCTTTATTAACTGTCAGAATGTAAGTTGTTTGACTAAAGATGAGATGTTAGAAATGAGTTAATTAATGATTAGTCTCCAGTTCTTTTGAAATCCACAGATATCATTTTCACTAGTTAATTAACATTCATAAGAGTGCTGTCTTAAGAAGGAGATTAAAAAAGAACAAAATAAAAAGTTGAGTAAAAAGCAAAAGCACATAAAAAAGTAGTCAGCAGATGCAATGTACATGTTATACTAGATTACATGTTGCCAGTAGCAGGTTGATTACAGTGACCATAACCTGACCTGAAATATTGTTATTATGAATATTTCAATAATGGGTTAATTATTCGGTAACACCATCAATCACAAGTGTGCAATTGGTCCAATACTAATGACTATAGAGATATCATTACATAAATATTAAATTTTAGTCATTACAGAGGTATTAATTATTACAAAAATAATAATTGTTACATAAACCTTACAGAGGTTATCATCATCAAAAACACAAGCTGTCAGGGCTCATAATACTGGTCTATGTTCCATCCCTATAATTTATTCTCTCTATATACTCTATTTTATTCTCTCTATGTACTCTATTTTATTCTCTCTATATACTCTATTTTATTTGGTTTTAATAATTTATCTTAAGAATAACATTATTTCATGTTGACATTTTATAATTAGTTAGCGTTTTATAAAAGTACTTTTAAAAATCAATTACAACAGCAGACATCTTCAGAATGATGAACCATGCACAACCTAATGTAAAAGAAAAACTAAATAATAATTATTAAAAATACTTACTTTCAATAGTGATAATGGTTATACATAATTATGTTGTCCAATAATAAAAAGTTAATTAACAAATGTAATAAAACAATGTCTAAATTATAGAACAGTTACAGTGTAAAGTTACATTTGAAACAACATGAAAAAAATTCCAACTTTAAATGCAGCAATAGTTTAATAGATAAATTCAAAATATTATTATTTAAGTTTATTATTAATAATAAAAACTCTTTGATTTGCATATTTTGTCTTCAGAGAAATTTCCTAATAGTTACATTTTAGTATAAAGATTAATCATTACTGAACATTAATTGCTACAAAAACATTATTTGCTACAGAAACATAAATCACTATAGGAACAATTGCTACAGAAACATTTTTTACTACAGAATTGATTATTGAATAAACATAAATTTTACATAAATATTGTTCATTACATAAACATTACCCTTTACAGAATTGTTGATAGTTACAGAATCATTAATTATTATAAAAATGTTCATGTTTAAATTTTTATTATACAAACATGAGTTATTATTACTATAATTGATCGTAAAAGTGAATAATAAGTTGAATAATTTTTATACATTTATTCGAAATTATTGCCATATTAAATAACACCAAATTATTACCATATATAAAATTAAACTAAATAATTCCTAAACAAAGAAGCCATTTTATAATCTAATAAAATTTTAGACTCTCTATCAGTATCAAGTGAACCAAAAATAGTTAGAAATGGACCAAGAGCTTTTTGTAAAGAAAAGGTTTGTAATTTTAATATTTATTTGTGGATGAATATATAATAAAAACTTTAATAATAAATATTATATAATATAATTATATAATAATAACTTTTGATCTAGAACATATAGTTTAGAATGTGATATGGTTGCGGATGAATATATATTATATATATATATATATATATATATATATAACTTTCGATCTAGAACATACAGTTTAGAATGTGGTATGGTTTAAGATATGGTGTAAGGTGTAATAATATAATGTGGTGTAAGGTGTATTGTGGTGCAAGTTATAGTATGATGCAAGATATAGTGTGTATTGTATTTTTTATTGCAAGATATAGTGTGTCCTGTAACTGTACTATATTTTTTGATTGTTGTGTATGACATAGATAGTGGATAGTTTATCAAGTGTTGAATGAAATACTTATAATTATTATGATTAATGTTAAACTCTATACTCAAGAAAATAACTTGATGACTTAAAAACTAAATGACTTTAGATTTTAAATGATGTGAGATTTTCAGAAGAAAAAGAAAATTTTTTATATGAAAGCTGCTCAAGCAATTCCAGTTTTTCTACGGCTCAATCAATAACATCAGACAATCATTCATCTTGCTCATCAGTTATGAGGAGGAAAGTTTCAAGGTTTTTAATCTTTTTTAGTTTTTATGTTTACACTATGTAAAATAAATTTATTAATAAAAGAGAAGCAATAAAATCTATAGATTAAAATGCTTATTTATAAATGTAAATATAGACATAGTTTCAAAAAACCATGAAAGTCTTTTAAGGTTTTTATTTTTACTACATCTTACTTATTTTTTGTTTATTTACAAAACTTTGAAATATAAAAATAATTATTCATTTTTTAAGATTGATTCTGAAGTCTTCAGTTAACGTTATTGCGATCACATTTTTCATGTTTGCAACACGCTTCTACCAGAGATTTTTCTTTAAAGAATACAGAATCTCTATTCTCTAGTAGAGAATCTTTATTTTCTATTAGAGAATAGACATTCTCTACTAGAGAATAGAGATTCTCTAATAGAGAATAGAGATTCTTTAGTAGAGAATCTCTATTCTTTAGTAGAGAATGTTTATTCTCTAGTAGAGAATCTCTAATCTTTAGTAGAGAATCTCTATTCTTTAGTAGAGAATCTTTATTCTCTAGTAGAGAATCTCTATTCTCTAGTAGAGAATCTCTATTCTTTAGTAGAGAATCTCTATTCTTTAGTAGAGAATCTCTATTCTTTAGTAGAGAATCTCTATTCTTTAGTAGAGAATCTCTATTCTTTAGTAGAGAATCTCTATTCTTTAGTAGAGAATCTTTATTCTCTAGTAGAGAATCTCTATTCTTTAGTAGAGAATCTCTATTCTTTAGTAGAGAATCTCTATTCTCTAGTAGAGAATCTCTATTCTTTAGTAGAGAATCTCTATTCTTTAGTAGAGAATCTCTATTCTCTAGTAGAGAATCTCTATTCTTTAGTAGAGAATCTCTATTCTTTAGTAGAGAATCTCTATTCTCTAGTAGAGAATCTCTATTCTTTAGTAGAGAATCTCTATTCTTTAGTAGAGAATCTCTATTCTTTAGTAGAGAATCTCTATTCTTTAGTAGAGAATCTCTATTCTTTAGTAGAGAATCTCTATTCTTTAGTAGAGAATCTTTATTCTCTAGTAGAGAATCTCTATTCTTTAGTAGAGAATCTCTATTCTTTAGTAGAGAATCTCTATTCTCTAGTAGAGAATCTCTATTCTTTAGTAGAGAATCTCTATTCTTTAGTAGAGAATCTCTATTCTCTAGTAGAGAATCTCTATTCTTTAGTAGAGAATCTCTATTCTTTAGTAGAGAATCTCTATTCTTTAGTAGAGAATCTCTATTCTTTAGTAGAGAATCTTTATTCTCTAGTAGAGAATAAAGATTCTCTACTAGAGAATAGAGATTCTTTACTAAAGAACAGAGATTCTCTACTAAAGAATAGAGATTCTCTACTAGAGAATAAAGATTCTCTACTAGAGAATAGAGATTCTCTACTAGAGAATAAAGATTCTCTACTAAAGAATAGAGATTCTCTACTAAAGAATAGAGATTCTCTACTAAAGAATAGAAATTCTCTACTAGAGAATAAAGATTCTCTACTAAAGAATAGAGATTCTCTACTAAAGAATAGAGATTCTCTACTAGAGAATAGAGATTCTCAACTAGAGAATAAAGATTCTCTACTAGAGAATAGAGATTCTCTACTAGAGAATAAAGATTCTCTACTAGAGAATAGAGATTCTCTACTAGAGAATAAAGATTCTCTACTAAAGAATAGAGATTCTCTACTAAAGAATAGAGATTCTTTTCTAAAGAATAGAGATTCTCTACTAGAGAATAAAGATTCTCTACTAAAGAATAGAGATTCTCTACTAGAGAATAGAGAATCTCTATTCTCTAGTAGAGAATCTCTATTCTTTAGTAGAGAATCTCTATATCATAAATCTATATATTTTTTGCAAGTGTGATTTAATACTATTTTCTTTTCCAGTCTCTTTAAATAATAATAGTTATACTTTCACAGGTATAGTAAAAGAAACTTTTATTATAGAAAAAAGAGTGATGGGGTTAGAATCTTTGATGAAACAATTGATACTGAAAGTCAGATATCAGATATTACACACCTAGAAAATCAATTATATCAACTGCCTACAACTTCAAAGCTTAGTAACGTTACTTCTGGTTCAAACAATCCATTACCTGCTTTTATAAGATCATCCAAATCATACCTTCAAACAAGAAGTTATCCAAAGTGTGATCCTGTTAATCGTTATCATCAATTTAAACAGGAATGGGAGTTTAACAAAGTACCAGGAGAAAGCAATCATTCTTCTGAAAGGTGGAAAATGAAGGTAGTATTATTATTTTTTTAGTCGTGAAAAGAATATATCTATTTTGTTGTTGTTCGATAGACTTTTATAATTTTTTATTTCATATGTATAAAAAGTTTTTTAAAATAGTTTTACTTTATTAATTTTAGGAACAAATGTTAAAAGTTAATGAAATTGAAGTAAGTTTTACATTTTTTATTATCTGCGTAATTATTTTTAAATTATGTACTTTTCTTTCTAAAATCAACAATGTTTCATAGAATTTGATTTCATTTCTTCATCTCTTCAATCAATAATTATAAAACATAAAACCCATCAAAATTAAATAGACATGTGCAAAATCTGAGTTCTCAAAAGTAATTTGACTTTTTTTTTCTTTTTTCGATTACTTGAAAGTACATGTTTAACTGCTAAATTTATTTAAATAAACAAACTGATATACATAGCTGATATTTTTATATGAAAAGTTTTCTGTGTTTATTTAAACAAACTGATATACACAGCTGATATTTTTATATTTTAAAGCCATCTGTGTTCAGGAAAAATTATTTGTTTTGATTCTACTAATATAATTCAAATAAGTTGAAATTTTTCTTTTGTTTCCTGAAATTTTTCTCAATTTTTTTACAATTTAAATGTTGACATCTTCATACAAGTTATAAAATTATAATTTATTAAAACTTCTTTTTATGGATGGACTTTTTAATAATAATTTTTTCAAAACATTTCAAGGAAACATTGTCATGTATGTAAAGAACTGAAACCCAAAATAATTGTTGTAGTTATTTTTAAAATTGTTGTGTTAATAAAAAAAAAAACATTTTAGGCAACCATTTTAATCCCTAAAAGAATATTCTTTGCAGGAGCTTTTTTAAGGGTAATTTTTTGTACTGTAAGAATCTGAATATTGGTTTCCGAATTTTGGTTAAAATGCTATTATCCCAGTCAAGGCTAACATTTTTAAATGTATTCTCATTTTCAATGCTTCCCTTATTTAAGTTATCGATACCTTATTTAAGGTATCGAAAACATTCCACAGGAAACATTCTTTTTAGTTATTATTTATTTATTACTATTTTAAAAGATGTTTTTTAAGAGATAATGTTTTTAAGAGATAGTGTTTTTTAAGAGATAATGATTTTTAAGAGATAATGTTTTTTAAGAGATTTTTACAATTTTAAAGTTTTAAATTTATTCTTTAATTTCTTACAGAGACCCAGACACAATTATTCTTCTAATAAATATGTTGTTCCAACTGAAAAAAAACGTCAAGCTCTGCGATGGCAAATTCGTTCAGCGATGGCTCAAATTCATTAGCATTATGTATATAAATGTGTGTGTAAATATATATATATATATATATATATATATATATATATATATATATATATATATATATATATATATATATATATATATATATTTAATTTTTTATATAAAATTTATTTATTACTTTTAATGATGAGGTTATTATTTAAAAGATTTTTTTTCTTGTATATATATATATATACTAAGTATTTTGTACTTGTTTTTACTAAATTTTTCAAATATTACTACATATTATTGCATATATTAAAAGAATACATTGATTAGTTAGTTTGATATTCAATAAGAAATAAAATATACAAAATAGTTATTCATTCTGTTATAATATATATATATATATATATATATATATATATATATATATATATATATATGTATCAGGGGTGTACCCTCATGGTTGTCCCCTGGCATGGGACAACTCATTTTCTCAAGGGCAACTTAAATTTAAAAAAAATGCCTATCAGTAGCCCGGCAGGACGACCAGACAGTTTGAAAAAGAAACAACATGAAACAGATATTGACTATTACAAAAATGACAATCTTTAAAAGTTGTATTTATAGTTATCTCTTTACCAACATCTAAAGATACTTAACAATCTTTTTTAACAGGTTATAACTTTTCAATTTTTTTTTTATTAACTTACCTTTAATTAAATCGTTTCTTATTAGACGTATTTTAGTCATCAGACGATTATACTGGACTGCTGATTATGATTGCGGACGACTCAAATGAGAAATGAAAACTATTTCAGTCGCCTGCAGGACGACCGAGAAAAAACCGGAAGGTACACCTCTGTATATATATATATATATATATATATATATATATATATATATATATATATATATATATATATATATATATATATATATATATATATATATATATATATATATATATATATATTTATATATATATATATATATATATATATATATATATTATAATTTTTAAATGTGCTCAATGTTCTTAAAAAAACAGAACAACTATAAATTAGTAAAAGATTTTTTTTTTTTTTACAACACTGTGTTTTATCAATAAAGACTCATCAGAATCCTGATAATATCTAAATTTTTTTTAAAGATTCTGATGAGTCTTTATTGATGAAACACAGTGTTAAATAAAAAAATTAAAAAAAAATTTTCTTAAGTGATTTTTTAATAATCTATACACACACACACACACACACACACACACACACATATATATATATATATATATATATATATATATATATATATATATATATATGTATATATATATATATATATATATATATATATATATATATATATATATATATATATTTATATATATACAGGGCATTTCCATTTCTGTGCGTGATTTTTTATTTTTCTTCTTTTTAGCAATTAAAAGCTGAGACTTTATGCAATATGCATACTATTTTGATTTTCTTAAAGAACAATTATAACAAAAATATTTTTATCATATTTTAGACTATCTGAATAAATAAAATATACACATTTTTACAATTTTATTTTTTTGAGTAATAATATCGCTAGATTTTAAAAAATATACAATAACTTTCAAAACGCAATACTCTAGCTAGAAATAATTGATGACTGCCATTTCTCATCAAAAATATATTAAATAAGAGTCGTAGAAGTATAATATTTCACTTGAAATACTCACAAGCAATTTATTTTTATAAAAATAACTACATGAAATTGGCAAATTTGCAACATCCGTGCGTGACTTCCATGCGTGATCATTCATAAACTGCATTTAAACGATTGCTGTGACTCTATGATTCATAGTGCAATCCTGTAACTTTCTGGAAATCATTACTAATGTTTAAAATATTATTTTTAAAAAATGTATACCGGTGAAACTTATATTTTCTGAGGAATCAAAGTTTATTTATCTAGTAACTAAAATAGAAGTTTTTCTGTTCCGTGCGTGATTCCATTTCAAACTTTATTTATTCTTTGTTAACATTATTAATGCTTACTATTTTTTGTTTACAAAATATTTATATTGATTAGAATTAAATGAGAGTAAATTGGAGATTGCTAGTTTCATTTTTATGAAAATAAAAGTAAAAACATACGAATTTCCGTGCGTGATTTTTTGGAAATGCCCTACAGTCATGGCCATAAATATGAGAACGCTGCATTTTTTTATAGTATGGCTTTTAGAACCTGAATATAACAAGCAGTTAACACCAATAACAATTAGTTTGTGCTTTAATTTTAAAATATGATAAAATTATTAGTAAAAAAGCATCTTAAAGGCATGATTGTCTCAAAAGTCAATATTTGGTGGGCTGCCCTTTGTTGGCAAATATCACAGCTCTTATCCTCTCAGGCATTGAATCAACTAATTTTTGGCAATATTCCAGCCTTATTTCTTGATTCCAAACAGTCTTGATTGCTTTCTTAAGGGTGTTTTCGGAACTAGGATTCTTCATAGCAACTTTCCGCTTCATCATCATCCATAAATTTTCTATTGGATTAAGGTCCGGGCTGGATCCAAGCCAAGGTCCTAAAACATCGATATGTTGACCCATTAGCATCTGGCTAACTGCTCCAGTGCGATGGCAGGAAGCTTCATCATGCTGGAAAGTGGTGTAGTTGCTACTAGCCATATGCTGAGGTAACTTTTCTTTAAGGATATTGAGATACACTGCTCCATTAATGGTGGTGTTCTTCGGCATAAACCAGATACCGCCCCTGCCTGCTCCGCTAAAGCAGCCCCAAACCATCGTAGTTGGAACCTGTTTTACAGTAGGAACTACATATCTGATATTGTAGCGCTGATTGACTGGTCTTCTAACATGTCTAGTGTAAGAGACAAACTGGGAAAATGTTGACCCTGTGTTATAAGGTTTTATAAATTTGTGCTTTGTAAGTGTGTTGGATAAAAATTATTTTAAACAATACTTTTGTATAATAAATGATGCATTCTTAATTAATTATGCAGGGCTTTTACTCAAAAACGTTTTCAAATTTTATCTCATTATACTATAGAAATGGTTGATTACAGAAATTTTTCACTAAAAATTGAATAATTTGCTTGTTAGAGTGAATATTAAACTTTTTTTTTTACATATATACTTTATAAGAAGACAAGTTGAACCATATAAAAAAAGTTATTTTATTTAGTTTAACATTAGTATTACTACTACTACTACTAGTAGTTTATTTTAAAACTAGTAGTATTTTATTTTAAATAACTTCTTTTTTTTTTTTGCCCACTAACTAATATGCAGATTTAATTCTGGACATAAATTAGAAAGAAAAATGCACACATTTTCTTGCTTTTATTTTTTAGCAATTTTTTTTGAATACACATCACAATTTATGTTAACTTGAAAAAACAGCACTTATTCATTAGTTTGTTAACGTAAAAAATAAGTTTTTCTGGAATTTTCTTTTTTGTGTAATTTTTGGTTTAATTCAATTTATTATAAGTAATGTTAATAATTCAATTTTTTTTTTGCATAATTTTCAGAATTAAAATTTGCAAAAAGTAGTATAAATAGTTTTTTAATTTGAATTTTGGAAATCTAAGTTATTTTAGTCAATTTTTTGTTAATTTTATAACAATAGATTTAAAATTGAAATTTAACTTGATTGCAATAATATACCTTTTTTTTTACAGTTTTATTTGGTTTGTACTCATTTTTATTTATTCTCAAAAAAAATGTATTTTCTATGTAACTTATTGTTTTCAAACAATAAGTTGCATAGTTTTATTAAAATTTTTGTAATTAGGATTTATTCATAATTAACCATTTCTAAGGTATAAAAAGTAAAAGAAACTAACTAAAAAAAACTTTTTTAGAAATATAAAGATTAAAAAACAGTAAAAATAGTATTAGAAATAGTAAAGTTGAGTAACAAAAATGAAAAGTTAATCTTGTATTATATATACTCTGCAACACTAGTTTATTTTATTAAATTTACCCTGCAACACAATTTTTTCATTGTGTTTGTTATATTCTTAATAAATTTGTGACTGCAACAACTTTTTTGTTTCAATGAGTTTATCTAAAAAAAATTTTGATTATTTTAATCAAAATCTTGTGATGATTCAGTTTGTACTCTGACAAACATGGTGTTTCAGTTGGTGTATATCAGTTTGCACTCTGACAAACATGGTGTTTCAGTTGGTGTATATTAGTTTGTACTCTGACAAACATGGTGTTTCAGTTGGTATATATTGGTTTGTACTCTGACAAACATGGTGTTTCAGTTGGTGTATATCAGTTTGCACTCTGACAAACATGGTGTTTCAGTCTTTGTATATCAGTTTGTATTCTGACAAACATGGTGTTTCAGTTGGTATATATTGGTTTGTACTCTGACAAACATGGTGTTTCAGTTGGTATGTATCAGTTTGCACTCTGAAAAACATGGTGTTTCAGTCTTCATATATCAGTTTGTACTCTGATTAACATGGTGTTTAAGACTATGACATTAAGAGTGTATATATCACTTTGTACTCTGACAAATATGGTGTTTCAGTCAATATATATCAGCTTTAACAGATAGATTTTTTTCTTACATTAATATTTTGTTATACACTTTTTAGTATTAAGGATATTTTTGAAACTTGAAATAGTATGGGTTTAAGAAAGCACCGTGGCAGAGGTGATTTTAAAGGAAAATATTTAAGTGGAAAAGGAAGAGGAAATGATCAGGAGCGACAAGGACAAGAAAATGATTTGGAAATGGAGAATGCAAAAGAGGTTGTTAGCATTTTTTTTAATAATTTAATTTTTACAGAACTTTTCAAAAATATTAATAACCTTTGTTAGGAACAAAGTGGTGAATTTTCAAGAAGAAAAATTGAATCAAATGCTGAGAAATATGATTTGCGTAAGTAATTATAAGACTTTTTAAGAAAATGTTTTAATTAAATAAGCAATAATTGTATATGCATTTTTTCATAATACATGTTATATATGGATGATTTAGTGTCAAAGCAACCTATATAATGAATATATTTAAGCAAAATAATTCATCGCAAAGTTTAAAATTTTTTACCAAAGCCACTAAACCAAACAAAATAAAAATAATTGCTGTTCAATGCACTTAAACATTTTAGTTATAGTAAATTGGTGTTTGGAAAGAAACACTACATAAATTATTTTTTAATAAACTAATTTATTTTAACTTTGTTGTATAGGTTGGTTTGATTCTTAATCATTTATATGTGATCTGCTCTAGCAAAAGCTCTTGCAGATAAACCTCATCTGCAAAAGCTCTAGCAGGCAAGCCTCATCTGCAAAAGCTCTAGCAGGCAAGCCTCATCTACAAAAGCTCTAGCAGATATGCCTCGTCTGCAAAACCTCCAGCAGATAAGTCTTGTCTGCAAAAAATAATTTTTCATTATTTTTGTTTAATGTTATAATTTTTTATAGCTTTTTTTGAATTAAATGATAAAAAAATTCTTTTTTTTTTTTAAAGGGTTGTCTTAATTTTATAAAGTTTTTTTGATATAGATTTTTTGATATCTGAAATTACAAAAACATAAGATAGAAAAGTTTATCATTTATGTAATGTAAAATGTCTTTAGCAATGCATGTTTTTTGTAAGATTTTTTGTTAAAAATTTTACACCATCATCATGTAAAGTCTTTTTAGTTATGTATTACACTTGACATATCTTTTTTAAAGAGTGCCTGAAATATATTTTTAAAAACAAAACAAAAAAAGCTAAAAGTTTATTTCCTAAATTTTATTTTACTTTATTACACTTATTCCTAAAATCAAATAGTATGAAATATATCACATATATTATTAAATAAGCACATTTTTTTTTTACAAAGTATAATACATTTTTAATCTATTTTTTATCAAAATCCAAAATTTGGATGTTTTTCATTTTTCATTAAATTAATGTTTTAAGTAATTGCTATTACTTTACCTTTAGTCACAAAAATTTTATTAAAGCACACTAAGCATGCACACACTACACACACACACACACATACACACACACACACACACACACACACACACACACACACACATACACCCATACAGTTGTATATATTTATAATATATTATAAGATATTATATTTTTAAAAGCTTTACACTCTGATGAGAGTTCTGGAGATGAAGAAGTGAGAGATTTTGATTACATAAAAAATAATGAAGGTTTTTTTTGGTTTAATTTTTTTTTATTCACCTCCTTTTATTTTTAAATATTACTTTTAAGTTTGTGAGGCATTTTTTAAGTTAATGTGACATTTTTATTTTATTCTTTCAAGCTGGTTTGCATTCACATTTTAAGTTTAAAGAAGAAAAAGATTGGGATGATGTTCACAGTCCTGAAACGGTAAAGTATAGAAGTGTAAATGGTTTAACAATTTTAAATAAAAACTAAATAAACAATTTTAAATAAACAACAAAAAAGCCATACTTGCATATGATGCTGAAATTACATGTTATGTCTCCCTCACAATTAGTAGAGGTTTCCACTTCGAACAAGTCTCTCTACTTCTCTGGATATTTATTCTTTTGAATTTTCTATCAACGTTTCTTCCTAAAGTTTATTCTAAGAATCATTTCCCCCATGTCTACCTGACTTGTTTCCATGTCTTCCTGACTTGTTTCCATGTCTACTTGACTAAATTGTTCTATTGTTTACCTGTATGCAATCACCAAATCAACCTGTTAGTTACCTATTATGCAATGTTGGAGAAACAAAAACAGAAATATTTTTTTTAATAAATAAAAATTTTAAGTTACAACTTTTAGAAATAATTGCAAAAGTAATTTATAATTTCTAATTTATCATAATAACACAATGTTATTCTTCTCTTGCCAGTAACCATGAAATCATTGATTGAAGCATTGTCTAAACTAAACATGTAAATTATTCATCTTCAAATAAGTGGAATGAAGTAGAAAATTGTGAGTCGTATTTGAAGATGTTTTCAAATCTTGTAATGTTTTAGTTTAAAGGAATAAATAAATGATGTAAAGTAATTTAGCAATGCAATAATGTAATAAGAATATGTATTAATAATGTAGTTAAAAGTGACCACAATATTCATCAAAAACCTTTCTAGGGCTAGTTTGGTACATAGATGTTTCATTTCATTTCTGTAAGATAAATTTCAAACTTACAGAAAAGAAAAAATGTAAAACTCTTTGATTTTAATTTTCTACAATAACAAACTATTTATTACTATTATTACTAATGTTTATCAACTTAATTATAACCATGTAATCCTTTGACTCTATTGGCGAGCAGATGACCGTTTTTACAGTCTATTTACTCTAACAAATGAAATATTTGCAACAATTTGAACAACAATTCATGCTTAGATTGAGATTAATTAGCATAGAATTTAATATTACTGATCAAAACCAAAGTATTCAGAACATTTTTATTAGTTTTGTATAAATATTTTTTTGCTTTGGACCTGATTTAATGCATTTTGACTAGATGTACCAATGTTTTCTTTTTTCGTATCAGGAAAAGCAAAAGCATCTGTAAAATATGTTTTTCTGTTATTTATTTTTCACTCTTAAAACACTTTGTTTTTCCCATTATGTCTCTAAAGTTAACTTTTATAATTTCGATTAACTAATCTGAACTTGGTTTTCACCATTTGCATTATTATAATCACTGTGTGATTATTTTAAAAACTAAAGTTAAACAAATATGTTTATAATTAATATCAAGTAAGTTCACAGGAAAATTATGTTCTGTTACCAAAACACTGTTTCTAAAACTATAAACTTTTAAATCTTCTAAAGGAGTTGATGTACAAATAAAATTTTCAAAATGTCATAGAATATAATTGAAATTCTTAGGGAATGTTCAGAGTGTCCATGAGTTACATGGATTTATAAAATTCTATGCTATACATGGTCATTATTTACTCGACTGTGTATATTTATATGAAAGGTGTATATTTATAGAAATCTATAATAAATATCTATATTGAAAAAAAAAGTTTTTATAGACAAAGGATTTATAGAATTCTATGTTATGCATGGTCATTATTTACTAGATTGTGTATATTTACATGAAAGGTGTATATTTATAGAAATATATAATAAATAATAATAAAAAAAGTGTTGCATTAAGTTTTATACAAATGTTAATTTACATTTTATTACATTATTATCAGGTAAATTTTCTTCAGTTGGATTTGAATAAATTAGCAAAAGATATTAGTAGTGTTGGAATATACAAACTTCTTCAATTGAATAAATTAGTAAGTTTATTTATATATGTTTGTGTATTTGGGTTTGTATAAATATGTATATTCATTTTTTAAGATTTTTTGCAAATTAAACTAATTGGATTTGGTGACTCAACAGTATTGACTTTTTTTTTTTTTTTTTGAGACTACTTTAACAACAAAGTAGTGTTCCATTGGAATAGAGTAGTGCTCTATTGGAACAGAGTAGTGCTCCATTAGAACAGAGTAGTGCTCCATTGGAAAAATATACACATAAAAAATTACAAAGTTTCAAAAACCATTAAGCAATTAACTTAATAACATTTATTGAGAAGACAAAAAAAAGTTTTATAGTAGAGTTTCATATATAGTATCCTATGTCATCTGCAGAGGGTTGTAAAAGCTAACCAATGTTTTCTGCAGAGGATTTAGTCTTATAATAACAAAAATTATTTTATGTAAAAAATTTTTAAATAATTACTTTTGGGATAAAATCCAATTTTTTTATTTTCATTTTTTTATTTTTGTTAGAAAATATGTTTATAATATATATATATATATATATATATATATATATATATATATATATATATATATATATATATATATATATATATATATATATATATATATATATATATATATATATATATATATATATATATATAATTTAGAAAAATGAGTGTCAATATTGTGTTGAAAGCTTGAAAAATGATATTCTTGAGAATGAAGAACTAGATGATAAAAATCACTCTAATGATTCTCCTTCTATTGATTGCTATGCCAAAGCTTTTGAAGTTTTGAGAGAAAAAATTGTACCTTGTTCTGATTTCCACATTAAAATAACAAATTCTAATCAAACACAAAAACCAAAGAACTGTAGGGAGAATAAAGGAAGATCAATTATTTATAAAGATGCAAGTAATCAAACTGAAATTCTTTCAAATAAAAACTTATATAATAGCTTTGAATCTATAATAAATTTAAACAAACAAACTTCTGAAGCAGAACTCACAACAATGGAAAATCTAGAATCAGTTATTAAACAAGAAGATAAAAGGTTGTCTCAAGATATTGACTTAGACAAGCTTTTAGCAATTTCTGATAGTCACACAGGTAAGAAAGTCAAATCTTAATGCTCTTAACTTCAATCATTGTTCATCAATTAATAAAGTTTTATTTGATTTTTGTATTAGATTTTCGTATTGCCAGTGAAGAACAAAATAATCAAGAGGTATGTGGTTTTTTATATTTGGGAGAGGTATCATTTTAAATTTAATTAGACATTGAAATACTGGTTTTTAGAACTTCTCTAACATTCTTTACTTTGTTTGAAAAAGCAAGAACCATGAGGGAAGTCTGACTATCTAAGGGCTATACTTTAAAACCCTTTTTTAGAGTGAATTTTCTTTTTAGTCAATTTTCAACAACACAATTTATATATTTTTTAGTATCTTATGATAAGGAAGGGAGGGGGGGGGGGGTCAAAAATTAACTTTTTTTGAATTTTGTGTAGTCTAATTTTTTATTGCTGATTTCGAATTACTTAATTTTTTATTTTTTTTCATTATAAGTATTTGGCCTTCTACTTCAATTTCAATAAAAGTGATTGCTTTGACAAAACAATCAATTGTTAAATTAAATGAAATCATTATTGTTATCTAAGTAGAATCTGTGGTTAATATATCTTTTTTCGTTTTATCAATAAAATACGTAGTCATTATGTGTAGTTATAAATACAACAAAAAATTAGGCCTTATACATAAAATTACTCCATATAAGAAACAATTTGTAACAATTACTAGTAGAAATGCAAAATAACAGGAATTTGAGTTCTTTCTCAAAATCAAGAGGTCTAAGTTTCGATGTTGGCTCTGACCAGATAAGCGACATTGATAAAAAAGAACAGCGTTTTTTTGTATTTTTATCAAAAAATATGATTTTAAATAAAATGGATCTTTGCTGCTATGATCTACTATATTAATAAAATAAATATCCCATTCATTAATTATTTTTGACATTTAACAGATCATTCGCTTTTTCAATATATTTATTGACATCTGATCTACAAATAAATGGGCTGCCTTGTAATTTTAAACAAGCTAAGATATAATATCTCTTGGATACCTAATATAACGCTTCCAGTTCTTTTTTTGCTAAACCACTCTGTCTCAGTTGTTTCTGTCACTGGTTCCGACTGTATTTTATTTTTTTTAACAATAAGACACATTTCCCAAAATATTTCTAAGGTACCTAAATCCTGATTTTAAGTATATTACTACAAGGAATTTTTGTAATTAACAGCATTTTTGAAGCTGATTGCAATGAGTGCTACGCTGATGCTTAAGTTTAATGTTATTTATGATTGTTTTATAAATTGCAAAAAACCTGATTAAAAATGTAAATAATTAGTTATTCCATTGTTGTATCTTTTTTCAAACCATAATACTTATTTTCAGTTAAAGAAATATAGGTAAATTTTGCTAAACTATTTGCAAGAATAGAAAAAAAAATCTTATTTAATGAAAATTTCCAAAAGATAATTTATTGTCAAACAACCTTAAGTAAAGACAATTTTGTATGATAAAGTTTGTCAATTACTGGAAGATTTCTAAAGAAGTTTATTAATTTTGATTTATTTGTCTTACTAGTTTATGATTTATTTATTTATTTATTAGTTTGTTACTTCTTGTAGCAATATTTTTCATTTCTATCCATATCTAAATTCAGTTTACAAAATTAATTACAAAGTATTTTCTACCTAAGTAAATCAAAACCAATTTTTACACTTGATAAACTTATTTTTGTTTAAACGCAACTTTCATTTTAATTCAAATTTATTCAATCAAAATTTAAATTGCATAATTTTTAACATAAAGTTGCATAGCTACATAAAGTTGCATAGCTACATAAAGTTGCATAGCTACATATAAATTACACGCTGCAAAGATTTTAAAGTTTATAAGTTTTTTAATATTTTTAAAATGCTAAAAATTAAAGTAGAAAGTCAACCACAAAAAAATTAGGAAAAACTGAATTGTTTATTTAACTTTAAAAAAAAATTAATTAAGAATAATTAGTTAAACAAAAAATATAGAAATTTGGGACCCTCTACTTATAAGGATTGCAATAACACAAAGCAATCTTAAGGTATCCTGTGTTGTTTCACTGTATGCGAGATCCTGCATTAATTAATGCGAGACCCTCATGATTTGCAGGATTTAAATTATGCAATTCATTTATACAAAAAACAAAACAATTATTATATCAAAATTTATATTGAATATTTATTTTTTATTTGATTAATTTTACAAACAGTTACAATAAAACATGTCAGTTACACAAAATTATGCAAATATTGAGATCAGTTACATACACTTACAAAAAATTGTGATCATTTACACACATTTACAAAAATAATGTGATCATTTACAAACAGTTACAATAATATAATGACTATTTATAAAAAATTAATAAACTATTAAAAAAAAAAATTACCAAAAATTAAATTAAAGCATAATTTTAGAAAAATAAAGCCATTTAGTCAATTCCAAAAAATATACTTAAACCAACTCTCAAAAACAGTTAACAGGTCTGTAAAATAGCTTACAGGCAAATTTGTTTTACGCAATTAGATACTAGCAAGTGCTTTTTTATTCTCTACTAGCATAATTCTCTACTAGCATATGCTTTTTGAGCACATCTGCAAAATGAAAATCAATAATAAAAGTTTTTATTATTGTCAAATTGCTGTATCTGTGTCCAAAATAAAATACAAGTTCTAACTTTTAAGTTATCATAAGAAATGTCTTATAATAAATGCACAGAAACATGCTATAAAATCGAAGAAAATATTATGAGGTATGCTATTTTTATGGTCACAGCTGTATATATACAGTCAGAGAAATAAGTATCCAAACAAAGCATTTTATTGTGAAAAATAAACTTTGTCAGGTCATTTCAGAAAAACATTTGTTTTTGATAAATACTTTTATAATTATTCTAAAAGCAAATTTAATCACGATTTTATATAGCAAAAAATTAATCAACCATAATTAACTTGCATTGCTAAAATTTGGTTGGCACTTCAACGAAAAATAATTATCCGAACATGTTGTTTTTAAACAAAGTTTTGAAATTGATTATTAAAAAAAGTTTTTAAATCAATAGTTTTAGAAACATTGTTGTTTTACTACGAGTAATTTTTAATAATTGACTAATATTTTTATTAATTCATTTGATTTACCATTGATATAATTAAGTATGGGAGTTAAAATCAAGGAATGGTCCTAAGCTCAGCGCAATTTGGTTATTGACTTGTTCAAGCAAGGTAAAACATTTAGGTCAATAAATAAAGGAACTGGAATAACATTAGAAACCATCAGCATCTGATTAAAAAGTATAATATGTTTGGATATGTGCAAAATCAGCCAAGATCCGGAGCTAAATGTAAAACAACATCAAGAATAGATGAACAAATTGTCAAGGTGGTGCAAAAAAAACGCTTTTTATCAGCACCAAAAGTGTCAAGCCTTCTTGAGAAAGATTTTGTACAAGTAAGCTCATGTACTATTCAAATTCTAATTGAGGGAAAGTGGATTCAAAGCAAGAGTTCCACGCAAGAAACCATTCCTTTCAAAAATCCATCAAAAACGAAGACTTGCATTTGCTAAAAAATATTATGCCAGGATCATTCTGGAGGAAAGTTTTGTGGACGGACGAGTCAAAATTTAATCTTATGAAGTCCGATGGATCTCAAAAAGTATGGAGAAAAAAAGGTGAAGCATTCACACTCAGTTGTATTTGCGGCACAGTAAAATTTAGTGGATGCAACATTATGGTATGGGGATCGATGGTTTGAAACGGAACAGGAAAACTGGAGTTTATTGATGGAATTACTGACTCTGAGGTTTATGTTAACATTCTCAATAAAAATCTTCTGGCTTCAACTAAAAAACTGCAATTAGGAAAACATTTTATTTTCCAACAAGACAATGACCCTAAACAGACATCAAAGAAAGCAATAGAATTTTTTATCCAAAAGCAAATTGAGTTACTTGAATGGCCAGCGCAAAGTTCAGATCTCAATCCAATTGAACATCTCTGGGCTATTCTGGATAAAAAATGTGGCACACGATGTCTAAAAAGAAAAGAAGAGCTAAAGATCATGCCCTAAAAAGCTTGGGCTGATATCAACTCAGATACAACAAAAAAAATTAGTTGATTCGATGCCATGTTGACTTGCAGAAGTCATAAAAGCTAAAGGCGGTATTAAAAAGCCATAAAAATAATTACTCGGAGAAGCATTAATTTTTAAACCTTAACCTTTAAAATTTTGTTTGGATTTAATGCTAAAAAATTGCATAGTTTAAATGTATCGTAATTTTTTATTTATATTTTAATTCAATATGCAAAAAAAATATATATATATATATATATATCAATTAAATATTATTATTGATATTTTTTTTTTTTTTTTTTTTTTTGCATATTGAATTCATAATTAAATTTTCTTTTAGAAAATTTTTTGTTTAATTTTAGAAAATTATTTTTTTCTGAAATAACCTGACAACCTGACAAAGTTTATTTTCCATAATAAAATATTTTGTTCGGATACTTATTTCTCTAACTGTAGATACTATATATTGATAATATCAATGATATAAATGTTCTTTCAAAAAATTATTGCTTTTCTTCATCAAAAAATCAGTAAATATTTATTAATACTGTAATAGACATATTAATAACATACTAAAATATATTTATGTTACTAATAAAATTATACAAATCAAGTAAATATATTATATTTATTGCATTGATATTATAAATGATACATTGATTAATAAATAGTTCAATATACTTAACATATATTTTTGTATTTCAATTTTTATAAAATTCAATTTATAAACTTAATATATTTAGCATAAGTATCTTACTTAATTAAAAATTTTATAATATCAATCCTCCAATCATCCTCAACCCCAATTATTTATGTTGAAGTTTTTTGTACATTAGTAAAAAATAAAACTTTATAAAAATTATATAAATGTTTAGTTAATGACAATCATCAAGTGCCAGACAGCATCAGTTAAAAATCTATAAATTATAATATCTATCAAAGATGTATAAATTATAATATCTATCAAAGATGTATAAATTAAACATAGTTGGACCTGCTCATGCAACCAACCTTCAACCATTATCACATCACCGTAATGTTGCTTCTCTTTCTATTTTCTACAAACACTATAATGGCTGCTGCTTTAAAGAGCGTCTCTTGTGCCATCTACTAAAATTCACTCTCATGTTACTTGTCATTCAATTAAGTCTCATCCTTTTTCAGTTACTGTTCATAAGTGCTCCAAAAACTCTTATTCGCCTAGTTTTTTTCCTTGAGCATCAGTTCTTTGGAATTCGCTTCCTTCTTCTTGCTTTCCTGATTCATAGAATTTGCAACCTTTTAAGTCGTATGTCAATTGTTATTTTGTTCTACAATCTTCACCTTTTTTCTTTCAGTAACTTCCAACACTAATTAGTGGTTGTTTGCAGTTTTGTTGGAAGTGAAGATGTTTAAAAAAAAAATCTATCAAAGATATATAAATTGTAATATCTATCAAAGATATATAAATTATAATATCTATCAAAGATTTAGAAATTATAACATCTGTCAAAGATGTAGAAACTATAATATCTGCCAAAGACATAAAATGTAATATATGTCAAAGATGTAGCTGAAAAAGCTTTCTCTGTCTATGCTTGTTGGCAATATTGCAATCAAGTAGTTTTTTGTTATTATAGGAAGCTTGCCTTTTACTACGTTACTTGTATAGACAGAAATTTTCTATAACATTTTTTCTCAAAAATGTCAAAAGAATGAAAACTAAGCATCTTCTTTTCTATCATTGTATATTTTTTAATTCATTATCCAGTGATGGGAGGACTAAGAATCCTTAATAGATTCATTATCTTCATTATCTTCAATTGTATAAACTTTTGTCAACAATTTTTTAATTTCTTGACGCATAATGATTTTATTTGGCATTAAAAATATATTTTAATTTTTTTTTCCTACTTTTTTTGTTTTTTTTAGGATTTTTTTAGTAAATTAGTAGACCAATTAAGTTAAAAACTTTAATTAGACAAATTATATGAAATTGTGTAAATCTCATACTCATGTGAGTTTGTATCAGCCAAATCAATGCTCAAAACTAAATATTGCTGTTCTAATTTATCTAAAATAAATCAAAAAGTTGTTTCTGCAGTGACGACATTCAATTCTCTTCTACATAATAACTCTAGTTTATAAAATTGTTCCAATATCAAGCAGACTATTTAGCCTTGTTTGACAATCAAGAACCAACTTTAACTTTTTGCCTTCTTCATCAAGGATATATTTTGGTAAGTGTATATATTTTTTTAAATGGAGAGTTTTAAAGATTCACAACATTTTTCTTTTTTTAATAAGATCTTTGTATTTCCTAACTAATTCAGGAGTTGATCCAAGATTATAGTCCAACTAAAGTTTTCATGTAGAACTTCATCAGCATCAGTGCTTGTTCATCTTCTTTTTCACAATTTTCATACATAGTCAAAAGTTCTTTAACTTCTCCATTTTTTTTATTGCACAAGTTGTATATCATGAGCAAAGTTATTGATCAAACTACTGACTTTATGACACTTGCTCTATCAGTAGTTGACAACAATTTTTATTTAGGAAGTCAATATCAAAACTATTTATCCATTCTGCCACTCAATGCAATATTTTGCATTACACAATTAACTGATTTTTAATAATCAAAGATGAATGTGTTTTGCCTCCACGTTCTAATTTAAGTATTTCTAATAATTTTGCGGGTTTTTTTAAATAATATTATGAAATAATTAGTTAAAAATACCGATATATTAACAAGACTGATATAATCAAGTCATAAGTAACAATAAGTCAATAGACAATCTGCAATTCACAATTCATAAGTAACAATAAGTCAATAGACAATCTGCATTTCACAAGTCATATGTAACAATAAATCAATAGACAATAAGTAACAATAAGTCAATTGACAATCTGCAATTCACAATTAAAAAGTCACAAGTAACATTTTAGACAATTAGAAAAAAGTAATACAAAACAAATGAAATAAAAACCATCAATAAACAATTTTTAAAAATAACTTTTTAAATAACATTTTAATAATTATAATAGCAAAAATTTTACAAAAATTCTAAAAAGATTTTCTTTGAACGAGTTCGAAATTAATTATTCATAAATTTTTGTACATTAACAAAGAATTTAAAATAGATATTTTGTAACACAAAAAATATTTGCACAAAATTACGATAAGTTTAACTTTGCATATAAATTTATGACCAAAGATTTCCTTTATTATGTTTAAAATGATGAGTTTGACAGAAGACACTCATGTGATAATTCAAATAAAAGTAAATCATTATTTAATCAAATTTTTTTTTCTTTTATAAAACATAAATATGAAACAATTATTTCAAACAAAACAAAAGCAAAAAAAATTATTTGAAAATAAAATTGAAATAAGCTAATTAGTTTTGAAATAATTATGAAGAATAAAAAATAGAAATAAAAAGAATAAAAATGTTTCAAAATATTTTGTGACGTTTACAGTTTCTTTGCTATAAAATATTTAAGTTGTAATAGAAACAAATTTGTTTTATAATGAGTTTATTTTACTTCTGCTATGGTGCATAGTAACATGCTCTGAGACTTTTTAACACATCCCCAGATGTTTCCAAATATCAAAATATATTTAAAACAAAAAAGTTTATACGCAGCCTTCTTTATAAAATTCAACATCTATATGACCTAAAATATGATATGACATCTATATGTAAAATATGATATGCCATCTATAAATGAATGATGTATGATTGTAAATTAAATTTTTATTTAAATAGATTTTAAAAAATTAAAAAAAAAACTTATTATAAATTTTGATGGAAGCATTTTGTCAATTGTGATATATATCACATTTATATCTTTCTTTGTTTACTTTGTATGTCAATATTTACATCGGTTTGGTAAATTTTGCAATAATTTATTGCACACTTTTTTTTAAGGATTTATGCGATTGGTTAGATGATCTACTTAATCGTCCATGAGACTTTTCGTTAAAGTCATCTCAATCACACTTTTTAACTGGAACATCTTCAGCGCTAACAAACAAAGCAATTGAGATACACACTATTGATGATACAGCCATATAGTAAACGGATTGTTTATAATCAAGTGTTTTATAATCCATCTTAATGCTGCGCTTCATTTCTTGTTTCGCAAACTCAAACTGCAGAACGCAACCAATAGTAACGAAAATGTGCATCAAATTGTGACTTTGTCCAAAGTGATCGAATGTTCCACGGAACACCTTTTCTGGAAGTTTAGTGATATTAGCGATAGCAGCAAGAATGAAAAAAATGGCGTGAGCTACAAACAACCACAAACTGTTATAGTTACAATCCGCTTCGCTGACGCATGTTTGTAGTCTGCAAAAATAAGGCGTTACATTCCAAAAAAATGCTACGACATATGTTAAGGTTCGAATGGTATACTTCATTGAATTCCATTTAAATCTCGATATACAATTTAATAGTGTTGCTAAAATTGCTATAGAAACACAGCCAGTGTTAAAAAACATCGATGACGTAAAAAAAAAACTTTTTGTATTTGACGGTTGTGTATAATAGAAAAACGTTTGACCAGCTCCGACAGCATAAATTGAGATTGACGCATAATCTAAATAGAAACATCGATGTCGTATTTTTACCGACATTGAGTTAAATGTGTGTGCTATAGTACTCATAAAGGTAAATGCTATGTTTCCTAATGCATGGCAGACTAAAGGCCATGTATAGCAATCCAAAATATTTACATCACCGCCAAAAGTCGATATGAATATATTTACAAAATATATTGTCGCTAAAAAATGTGATATTATATTGAATGATTCGTTGCATTTGAAAGCTGTGACGCTTTTTAAACAATCTAAAACGGATAAATTTGGTCGTCTGTAACCTTGTTCTATATACGGGTCATGAAAGGTAGAAGGTACATCATCTCTATTTAAGCAAAATATATTATTCATGTCGTGTGATTTCATTATTAAGAACTATATAATATGCGTAGTGTAAAGCTTTACTTAATTTATTCAGGTGCTTCTTCTTTTTTTTTCTTTCTTTTTTTTCTTTTTTTTTCAAACAAAGCTCCTATTCGTTCGAGTCGCTAAGGTTAAAATTTACACATTTTTTTGTTGCTTAGTGATATTTTTCATTCTTTCTCAAATGAAGCTTTTAATAATGCACTTTTTTTTTGATAGTATGAATTTTTAATTAATATGTACTCGTGATTGACAATTTAATTTAGTTTTATTTATAGAAGGAAATGTTATAAGTTTAAAGGAACCTTGAGAGAAAAAAATAATTTTGTTTTTTTTGTTTAGTTTAATATAATATGTATAATATTGTCAAGTTTTTAACTGTTTATACCGCCCAAAGGCTATACACATTAACCACCTGTGGTTTGCGACAATAGGTTTTAATAAATTAAACTACTTGCACAAAAAATTATTTTTTAAAATCGAGAGTTGAAATGAAAAACCAAAATTGAAATGCAGTTTCAAGTTTTCGGAAAAACTTTGTTTTTAAGCAAAAAAAATTACAAAATTATTTTTTATTTTATTTATATTGTTTTAAAACAGACAATTACAACGAATTGAAATTAATTAAAAAACTCTTGTGCATAAATGTAATAACGTTGAATTATGTGTAGTTTAAACAGAAAAACGTATTACAATGATTTTCTGGAGAAAATAAATGGCGAAGCATTAAACTAATAAAATTGTATAAAAAACGAAGTGGAGAAAGAAAAAAAAGTTCCGTTAGTTTTCCGAAAGGTTGACAAAATTCGGTGATTTATGTGAAAGAGCGCGGTACAAATCATATTTAAAAATGAGTTTTGCTCTACAAACCTTATTTAAAAATTAGATTTTCTCTATTCTATATTCTCTTATTTAAAAATTATTCATTATTAAAAAATTAGATTTTCTCTATTCTATATAAATATTCCATATTTAACCGCAAATGACAGTCTTAGTTTTAAGTCCCTTAATTTTTGGAATATACAAGCGGTTAATTTGCGATAAAAAAACTTCCACTCTATTGTTCAAAATATATAGTTGCCACTATATATAGTTCGATACCACTATATAATGTTCGATTTAATGAAATTTTAAAAAGAAAAAAATTTCGAGTTAAAAAAATACATTATAATGAGTGAAGTGAGCGCAATTTCCACTTTATAATTGTACTGTATGAATATTTAAATCATAAATTTGTTCCACAAAAAAAAACTTTTTCTTTAATGTATGTAAAATTGTTTGTTTAAACTTTTTAAGTAGGAAACTAAAAAATGTTTAAACTTTTTCAAATGTTTTAAAATTTTTATTTATTTACACTACTTCACAGAGGCGGGATAAATGAGGACGCTGCAAAAATTCAGGATGTAGGTTTCCTTCCTCAATTGAAATAAATAAGTGCATTGTTCAAAAGTTTTTATATTGTAATGCTTTTTTTTAATGTTTTATTTTTAAATCTACACTGATCGTCAAAAATTTGTTTTAACTAAAAATGTTGTTCATTAAAAACTTAAAAAAGGAAAGTTTAAAGCGATAGGAAATTCTATGTGATACTGGTTTAAGAAAATCAGTTATAACAAAATATTTTATTTATATGTTGACGAGAAAGTATGCTAATAAATAAAACTAAATATTTTTCACTACTATAAGTTCCATGCTAAACGCGATTATCAGGTGTAAATATGTTTTTTTCTCTTGAAAAAATAATAAATCTGCATAAAAGAAAATGAGTTAGAAAAATCTAACAGCGCCTTAATTGGAACACTTGCATTTATTTTTGCATTTATTGTTGAAAAAAAGGGTTTTAAAAACAGTTCTAGTGCAATTAAAAAATACTTAGTAACAACCATAAACCTTAAAAATATTACTTTAATTAGTAATTTTTAATCAATAAATTAAGAGAGCGTCATAACAGTTAAAGCTTTTATAAAATTTTTTGTTTGTAGACTAAGTAACGTTTGAATTGTTTAAATTTAAACTTTTTAAATTTGAACTGTTTAAATTTTCACTGTAAAAATAAAAATAATTTTTTACAAATTTTTGTTAATTTTAATGTTTTTTTTAAAAAAAAAAAAGAACTTGTTCTGATTTAGGAATCCAATTCCTGTGTTCCAATTTAGGGAACCAGTTGCCTTGATTGGAACAAAATGGTATCTTTGCAAAAACAAATTAATTTCAAAAAACAGTGCAAAAACACAAACATACATATAAAGTAGATTACATTTAAGTTACTATTATTGTATATATATATAAATATATATATATATATATATATATATATATATATATATATATATATATATATATATATATATATATATGTATATATATATATATATATATATATATATATATATATATTTAATTCATTTTTGTGTGTGTTTTTTATATAGTCAGAGGTGCCTTAGTTACTGTTTTAACTTACATGTAATATACTTTACATGTATGTTTGTGTTCTGTCTAAACACCTCGCTCGGTGTTCACTCACCCGTAAATTGCTATCCGTGGGTTTGCGTTCTGTCTGAACATCTTGCGCGGTGTTCACTCACCCGTAAGTTACTTTATGTGTGCTTGTGTTTTTTTGAACCTCTGGCGTGGTGTTCATTTACCCGTATGTTGCTTTATGTATGTTTGTGTTCTGTCTCTTTACGGTTATATTTATGATTGTGTTCTGTCTAAACCTCTAGCGCGGGTCAGGTTCAGGATTATCATGATCACCCATCATCTGGTATCAAGTAACCCAGGTCAGATCAGGTTCAGGATCATCAAAATCACCCTGGAACTGGTGTCAAGTAACCTAGTACTATCTATCCCATGCCCTGCCGCATTGTGGGGTGTGCTTTTTTAGGATAAAGGCTAAGGGAAACAACTCGCTATAAACTAAAAATTCTCTGCCTCCGTTTTCTTGGTTAAGTAAAAGCTAGAGATGGTAAACCTTATGATCATTCTCTTCTTTCCATTCCAGTTAAACAGGTTAACCCATTGTTAGACAATCAAATCACTCCAGATTCTGTAGCTAAAGTTATATCTCAATTAAACTCTTCTACGGCTTGTGGTCCAGACAACGTTCCTGTCACAGTCTTACAAAATTTTAATTAAAGCAGCCGTGGCGCAGTGGTAGCACACTTGCTTCAGAAACATAAGATCCGTGGTTCAAACCCCACCTCTGGGCAAGTTTTGCGACATCGGTTGGGAAGGGGGCGAGAACTTCCTATTAAATGCTCTTCCGCGGTGCTCTGTGATAAGATTGTAAGGACTTCTTAGAGATGTCCAAGAAGTCAAGCCTGATCGGCTTGCCAGTATGCTTCTTGGAGCACCTAAAATTAACATTAAAAAATAAATAAATAAAAATTTTTTCGGAAATCTCTCTAAACTATTTAATAAGTGCTTGACTGAGTTTTGTTTTCCTGCCTGCTGGAAAATGGTATCTGTTGTTCCAATTTTCAAAAACTCTGATGAAAATTCTGACCCCTTCAATTATCGTCCGATCAGTCTTCTTTCTGTTATTAGCAAGGTCTTTGAGACTTTGATAAACAAATTTCTCACATACCATTTTGAGTCAAATAACCTACTGTATCAAATTGTTAACAATCCTCTCGCTCTACGGCTGACTTGCTAACTGCTGCGACTAAAAGATTTTATCATGCATTAGATGGAAACGGAGAGGCTAGGACTATTGCCTTACTTTACATGGTGTATCTGGGAATGTTTTTGAGGTTATCAAATCGTTTTTTTCTAACCGCTTTTTTAAAGTCATTCTCAAAGGCCAACACTCTTCTTCATTTCCAGTAACTTATGAGGTCTATCAAAGTTCTCTCCTTGGGCCTGTTATGTTTCTTATCTACATTAACGATATTCTCGATAACCTTGGAACTCAACTTTTTACTCCTGTCTTGACAAAAAGTCTTCTCTTTTTGATCGCTTAGAACAGGCAGAATCTGATAACACTTCTGTAACAGATTGGAGCTTAAAGTGCCTTGTAAATTTTAAATCTAAAAAACTCAGTTATTTACTGCAAACAACTATTGCAATACGGTCAACATTCCTATATTATCATTTTATTTTTCCTGTATGGAATACTATTGCCGTATTTGGACTCGCTCTTATTATGATGCTCTTTCTTTTATACACAAGGTCCAAAAACGCAAAGGTCCAAAAACATCAAAGGAGTTACCCATTTCTTGTTTCATCAACTAAAACTCATTCTTGTTTGAGTTATCATTTAGTTAAGTTTTATTATTTTACTGTATTTGTCCCTGCATGCTCTAAAAAATTTTAAAACATGCAGGTGGTTTTTAGAATTGTAACATTTTTATGATTTTTTTTTATTATGCAATCCTTATATGCATTTTTTTTTTTAAATACTTTGCAATACATAAAACACGTTTTCAACTTCTAATAAAGATTTTGATTTGAAATTTTCAGGAAATTTTGTTGTTGTTTTGTATGGGCTTTTTACCGGTTGTAAGTGTAATTTTTTTATGGGGTACTTTTTTTTACTATGCTTTGAAAAGGATTGAGTATCTTTAAAAACAATTCTCCATTTTACACAAACGTGTTAGAAACCCTAGTTAACAGCATTTTTAACATACCCTGACAATTTGGAGTTACAAGCATTTGTGAAATTTTTACAATCATGATTGAAAATATTTTAAAATGGCTGCTTATATAAGTAATTAGCCTCTAACGACATTTTTTTCTTCTTCAATATTTCATTAAAAAAAAGAAGCTTAATTGATTTAAATAAAATTCGAATTAATGTTCCTTAAAAAAATTTAAGCAACTTTATTTTAACGGGATCAAAAGTTGGGCTAGTAACGGGATCAAAAGCTGGGCTCTTCTACTGTTTTAAAAAATTCTTTCTTTTAATGAAAGTGTGTTTTTTTTGAGAAAGTTTTAAATTTAGAGGATTTTTTTTAGTTTCACCCTTCATATGTTAGTCTAGAGGGTTGACACCAAAAGTTTACTGCTCTGGGTGACACAAACCTCAACAACACCACTGTCTGTACAGCCTAAAATCACTCTTGTTATAAAACTGAAAAATTTAAAAAAATAACATTTTAATTAGTTCACACACATCCGCAAAATTAGTTTAAAAAATTATATTGATTTTTTTCATCCAAACTTTGTTGTCATTCAGTAATAAAAATTTGCGTGAGTGATATCAAAGATTTGTTATCTTTCACGAGAGCTACATACTAAGAATAAAGATATTTAGATTAACAAATTCTAGTATTTATATAAATTGATACTGATAATAGTAAGATTTATACTTAGTCTTAGTTCTAAAGTGTCTTAAGTAAAAAATAATTAACAGAATTAAGACCACCCGACGCTATATAGTACCAAGTAATACCACAACTTAGCGACATCTCTTGACTGGCAAGGATCCCAGTAGGCACAAGACGTGTTTAGGACGTCTAAAAAACGTATTAATATGTATTAATAAAAAGATTTTCATTTATAGAAGAATAGAAGTTAACAATTTCAAAAATGAGGAATTTATAAAAATGTTTGCCTTCGATATATTTGAACAAGTTTATTAAATCTTATGTATTATTTCACTGAAACATTTCTTAGTTTGGTGTTTATATCGGATAAAATGAATCTCAAAGTTCCATAAAAAGTCTTATTTTTTAATTTAAATTACATATTACATGTCTCCAGTTTATATAAATATCCCACACAAATATTTACAATATATAAAGAGCGTTAACTATTTTACGCATGTGCGTTTGATATCGAGTTGAAATAAACTTAAAAATTCCTATTTTATCATATAAAGTGCTGACTTTTAGTCCATGCATTCAAAAAATATGCACAAGTCCGTCGCACCACAGGGCTACTAGGGACTTGCTTGTCGTTGTTGTTGAAACTATATATTAATATATATTAATAGTACTATGTAGTTGTAAGAAGACTAAAAAAGTCTTTTCATCGAGAACCTTTAAAATACAAAATAAACTAAAAATTTAAAGAGTAAATTTATAAAACACACATTAACTTTTTGAAGTCATCTGTTCAGTAATACTTTACTATGTATAGTTGCTAACTATATGTATTTATTATATATATTTTTTAACTAAGTTTTTTTTTTTTTTTCTTTATTTATTTATTTTTATAGCTTTAATTGTTCTTTTTACATTTTATTATATAAATTGTTCTTTTATATTTAATACATGAAGTTTGTGCTGTACACTCAAAAAAAAAATTCCCTTATTTTCAAGGGAAAAAATAAGGAAATAATCCCTTGAAATCAGCACTGGTAAAGATTTCCTTACAATAAGAAAATATAATTTTAAGGAAATAGTTTTCCTTAAAAAAATTTCCATAAAAAAGGGAAATAATTAAAGTCCAAAATATTATCATATCAAACGCATTAAATAAATTCACTAATCACAAAAAGTGACAAGTGTACAGCAAAATGGCTATTATAATAATAACTTATCGGAAAACAAGTCACAAAGATTACAAGTATTAAAGTAGACTAAATTGTTTACACAACTAAATATTACACAAAGAAATAAATCGATACAATATAATAACTGTGCAAGAGCAAAATAACACAGTCATTGTACAGCCAAATATTATAGTGAATACAATGTAATAAATGCAGCGAATGCATACAAATTTAAAAAGTAATTTACACAGCCAAATCTTTGTGTAAATACAATGCAACAACTGCAGCATGAGTGAAACAAGGCCACTTATGCAGCCAAAAATTCAAGCTAATACAATATAATAACTGTAGCATGATAAGCAAACAAAATAAAAAAACTGATATACAATACAAGTATACAAGTTTTTTGACACTTTTATTCATTTAATTATGCCACGCTTTCATACATCTTCAGTGGTGATGACTAGTTAGTACATGCTACAGTTGAAAAAGTCGAGCTATATTGTTGATAGTACCAACCATTCATTCCTTGCCAAAGGTTAAATTATACTTGAAGTTGCAAAAATTTCTCTAAACTGTAAGGATACTCCAAATTAAAAATCCAAAACACCTTAACATGTATTCATTCCACAATCAAAAATTCAGTCAAGCAAACTTTTCTGTTGCACACAATTCTCTCAGTGATTTTGATGAGATCATTTGACAAATATTTAAGGTTCAGTTTGGGATGAGCCAAGTTTTGCGGAACATCTATAGAATTGCCAATGCTAGGCTAAATATAAAACAAAAAGCACATGTAATACGAACTAGGACATTTCAGATTCCATATAAATTTAAAATATTCACAGTTTATGCTATAAATACTAAGTTAAAATAGTTTTAAGTTAGTGTTAACTTGAGAAAATAAAGACATAAGATAAATGTAGATTTATGTACTGAATAAGAATTTGATATGCAGTCAGCAAATCAAACATTTTGTCTAGCTTTATAATTAATTTTTGGAAATTGAGCTAAAATCAAATTCCAAAATCAACTTTCAAATTTTTATTGATTCACTAATTAATTTGAATAACTAATTTGACTCAAATTACTTAGATAAACTTAAATAGGTTTACTCAAATTTTGAGTAAACCTATTTAAGTTTATCTAAGATAACCTATTAAATCTATTAAGTTTACGATTAAGCTCCTGGATTTATATATATATATATATATATATATATATATATATATATATATATATATATATATATATATATATATATATATATATATATATATATATATATATATATATATATATATATATATATATATAGTATAACACACATAATTTTAAACATTCTTTACATACACCTTGTCATACACTGCTGGTAAAGAAAATGAATCATGACCTTCAAAAAGATTTAAAAACGGAAAATATCGATTATTTAACATGTTCGTATACAAATGCGATCTCTTTAAATAATAAATTTGACGAATTCATTGATGATATATCCAGATCTAAGGCTCAAGTTATATTTGCTTGTGAGACGTGGTGGTCATCAATGTCTACTACTAATATTCCTGGTTATAAACTGTTTAGAAAAGATCGTCAATTTAGTCGTAGTGGTGGTGTATGTATTTACATACAAGAGAATATTAAATCTTATGAAATAAATGAAAAATATCTAATAAATGAAAATATTGAGCAAGTATGGTGTTTGATTGAAATTGGCAAAGAGCAAATCTTATGTGGTTGTATGTACCGGACAGGTCTTAGTAATAGTGAAAAGTGTATTGACGTTATAAAATCATTAAAACAAACATATGTACTCAAACAAAAAAACAAATGCTCTGGTATTTTAATATGTGGTGACTTTAACTATGCAAACATCAAGTGGAACGATGAAAGTTTTAGTAAAATTATAAATGACAGTGACACAACAGCAAGTATGTTTATTGAGTCGTTACATGACTGTTACCTGCACCAAAATGTTATCAGTCCTAGTTTTCAAGTAAAGTTTGGTATTGATACTAACATTTTAGACCTCATTTTGACTGATAATAGCAACAGAGTTTATTTTCATGAACATTTTCCACCGTTAGGTGGTATCGATCATGGTCATCATATTTTGAAATTTCGATTTGGTTATGAAAATAAACCTAATTTATTAATATCACTACAAACGAGGAAGAAAAAATTTTTGTGGAAAAATGGAAACTATAAAGCGTTAGATTTGTATTTTAATAACATAAACTGGATAAATGAATTTGAAGGACTAAGTGTTAATGAATGTTACAAAAAATGGCTAAGAAAATATGAAATAGGATGTGAAAAATATATCCCAACGCTAAATTTAGATAAAAACTCTTTTCAACTAAAAAATAACTCACTATGGATGACAAGTGAACTTAAAAGCATGTGTAAAGAAAAAAAAAATGTTGGTTTAGAAACAGAAATTCAGGTTTTAAAAGTCTTTTAGAAGTCAATAAGTATAAAAAATTAAATAAAGATATAAAAAACTTGTCAAGAAAAGTATTCGCAATTTTGAAAAAAACTTGGCACTTAATTCAAAAAACAATCCTAAAAGTGTCTATGCTTATATAAACAACAAAACAAGATTTAAAGACTCGATCAAAGCCATAAAGCTACATAATGGTATTATAACTACTGATAATCAAGAGATAGTAAACACTCTTAATGAATTCTTTGCTTCTGTGTTTATACAAGATGACTCATCAGAAGAAGTTTTAGACGACAATCTTTTAACAAAATTTTCTGATCCAGAATTTAGTATTTCTATTATTCAGAAACATTTGAGTAATTTAAACATGTACAAATCAGTAGGTCCAGATAATGTTTACCCAAAAGTTTTAAAGGAATGTTCAGAATCTTTGTCAAGTTCTTTAGCAATAATATTTGTTGAATCGTTTATTACAGGATCTATTCCAAAGTTATGGTCATGTGCAAACGTTGTTCCGTTATTCAAAAAAGAAAATAAACTAGATCCAACAAATTATAGACCGGTTTCATTAACATCAATTGTTGGTAAAGTTATGGAGAGAATTATTAAAGATCATATGATGGTGTTCCTCATTGAAAACAATTTAATTTCTAAAGAGCAACATGGTTTTGTTAATAACAAAAGTTGTATAACAAACCTGTTAGAAACATTAGATTTAATCACGCAAGCGTATGAAGAGAGTATTTCCGTTGATGTTTTATTTTTGGATTTTAAAAAAGCATTTGATTCAGTCTCTCACACGAAATTACTGAAAAAATTATTCAGACTAGGATTTGTATCATCTTTGTTAAATTGGTGTAAATTATTTTTGTCAGACCGAACACAGAGGGTTGTGATAGGGGAATATATTTCAAGTTGGAAGATGGTTACTAGTGGAGTACCACAAGGTTCAGTACTCGGACCTCTTTTGTTTGTAATCTTTATTAATGACTTATGTAGAGGGATTATTAAAAACACTAAATTATATGCAGACGATACCAAAGTTATTTCAATCAATCATTGTTATGATGATAATAAAATATTACAAGAGGATATTAACAGGTTAGTTAAATGGTCTGAAGATTGGTTAATTACATTTAATGAATCAAAATGTAAAGTCATGTATATTGGCAAAAAGAATCCAAGATATGAATATAAATTGAATAACTCTGTTTTAACAGAAACAATGATAGAAAATGATCTTGGGATTTTCATTTAAAATAATCCAGAGTGGAAATATCATATTAATTCAGCTAAAGGTAAAGCAAACAGAAAATTAGGCATGATCAAAAACTCTTTTGAATATTTGGATGAATTTTCATTAAAGTTACTATACAAATTGTTAGTACGTCCCCATTTGGAATATGGAGCAACAGTTTGGAGTCCATTTTGGAAAAAGGAAATTGACAATCTTGAAATCGTGCAACATAGGGCTACGAGAATTGAATCTTTAAGGGGGAAGTCGTATGAAGAAAGATTAAAGATACTTGAATTGCCAACTTTGTTTGATAGAAGAAGAAGAGGTGATCTGATTCAAATGTATAAGATCTCAAAAGGGAAAGATATTGTTAATTTTCACCACCCTCCTTTAAATTTTGAGCTGGAGCGATCTAGTAGAAGTAACAATTGTAGAATACGCAGATAATTTACAAAATCAAGAATTCGTCACCATTTCTTTACAAACAGAGTTATAAATGATTGGAATTCTCTTCCACAATGGATATTAGATAAAGATAATTTAAACATTTTTAAAAACAGTATCGATAATTATTTCGGTTTCTTAACACTAATTTTTGTAATCGGCTGTCATAGTCTTAATTCTACGTAATTAAGACTCTACACACCTCAAGTGTGTACAGCACCTTTTCTTTTCTATTCTATATATATATATATATATGAAACAAAGGATATTTAAAAATTATATATATACAAATATGCTTGATTTAATTACTTTTCTACGTTAACCTAAGTTTAAAACTATACTTATATTATAAGTATAGTTTTAAACTTAGGTTAACGTAGAGAAGTAATAAAATCACGCATATTTGATCCTACTAGCCTAACAGCCAAGTTCAATGCATACACTTGCCATAGTATGGCAAATTCCATTGTTTGCCATTATATAGCAAAGTATAGTATAGTATTGCCATAGTATGGCAAAAAATAAATAAGTTGGTATAATTATGTAAACTAGTAGTAAGCAACCCGTAATACGCGTTGTTAGTAAATAAAATTAAAAGAAAAAACCGCGTATAGAAAAGCCTAGAAACTACTTTAAAATAGAAAAGCCTAGAAAATGACGTAACTCGACTAATAATAATAATATTAAATTAGCGTATTCATATTATCAGAAGCCAAAAGTTGGCTTCTAAAAATATAAACATACATTTGGCCCAAATGTATGTGTATGGCCCATACACATACATCATGTATGTGTATAATTATATAAAAGCCACATGTATGATACATGTGGCTTTTATATAATTATACCAGCTTACTTAATTTTTCTGATGACGATTGGGAAACAATTTACTATTTTCTTGTAATAAAAAAAACAATAGTTTTGGTAAATAAATAACTTTTTAAACATAATGTATCTTTATCATTTCATACGATATCAGCACCATTACTGTAACACTAAAGGCGCACGTTATTTTAAGGAAATACGCTTTTATCGAATACTATAAAAGCGTATTTCCTTAAAAATGTTTTATTTCTTTTTACTTAATTTAGATTTAAGGAAATAAGTGTCCTTAAATCAAGGAATAATTTTTACCACGGTAAGGAAATTTTTAACGAAAAACCAGTAAGGAAATTTTTTTCCTAAATACGCAAGGAAAGATTTTTTTGAGTGTAGTTGTTTCAGTTTTGAGTGAAAAGTGAGAACTGTTTACGATTTAACTACTCCAATAGAAACAACAAGCTTCTAAGGGCCAAAAGTGTTCAATGTTATTTTTGCGTCAAGGGTTACTAAATTGTTGATAGTGGTTGATTTTCCTTTAGTTACAAGTGAAGTGGATTGTTCAATATACATCAAAATCCTTTTCTTAGCTAACTTTGCGCAAAGAAATTTAATACCTTTTACTTTTTGTTGAAAACAACTTTTGCAAAAAACAAGATTTTTATTGGTTGTCGAAAGATTCAAATTGAGTTTGCTATTTCAGCACCATTTTTACACCCACACAAATAAAACACTCACATTTACCACCTCAAATAACTCTAATGTTAAGACCTAAAAGTAAAAAGAAATTATTTTTTTACACAATATTTTTGAATAAAAATCTTTTGGAATCTGCTTTCTCACTTTCCGTTAAACTCACTAAATTTTTTCTGCAATAACAACATAACATATTAGGGAGTTCAGGGTTTTCAACAGAGTAATTTTCCAAAAAAATTCACTTAATAAGATTTTCATAATTTTTTCCTTGTTTTGGACCTGGTTTATTGCATTTGGTTTAAATGTATTTTAAATCGTTACTTTTTTTCATACAGCATATCGCGACGTTAGAATTATCTTGTGCTATCTCCATGTTTTTGCAAACTGAGAAAATCGATGTCAAAGTTTGAATTTGTTCGCAGCTAAATTGAAAAAATATTTTGAGAATTTAGGTATTTCCTAAGATTTAAAAATGTTTTATTATTAATTTTTAGATAAAAAAAAAATTTTTTAATTACGCTAACGCCCTTTTTTTCGCACCCTCTTTTGGAGATAGAACAAAATAACTTTGGTTTTTAGTAAAATTCAAAAATATTATGTTGTTACATCATATATATTAAACATATTAAGTACATTTTTCAACAACGACATGTTAGAAATTGATGAAATTTTGTTCTACCTGCTAATCATTCTTACGCAGTACCATACACTCCTAATTTATGGGCATGGGCCCCTAATTTAACGGGACCCTTTTCAAAATATAAGACGCTTTTTGTATTACCTAAAAAATTAAGTTTTTTTAAATAAAATGAGGCCCTAATTAGGAGAACTTATAGAAGAGCCTCTAACGACACTGTTCTTACGACTTACATTTATTTTAATTACCTGTAGGCGCCGGCCCTGGACAAGACTAAGACGTCTAATTTAAAACGGAAAATTTGGCTGCGTAATAATAATATAAACGTATTAATATAATATAAACGTATAAAATAAATTATGAAAGGTATATAGGAAAGAGTTATGTTAAAAAAAATGTAATAATAAAAGAAATAACATTATGTAACTATCTGATAATTCACAACAATTCAACTAATCTAATCACAAACTCCATGCAAGATGAACTTGATTTTATTTTTCTTATGCCTGTGTATCCATTAATAGAGTTTAACTTTTTATTAAAAGTTATTGCAAATATTTACAAATAAAAAATTGTTACTCAAGTTAACGTCAGGAAGGGCATCAGGTTGTGAAACATTGCTTTAACTCTTTCATAGTGGCCTTTATGTCACTATGAAAAACCATCCAAACCAAACAAGTGGGGGAAAATGAATATAAAAGTACAAAAAAACAAACAAAAAAAACACAAGCTAAACAAAAATTTTTATCAAGATTTCAAAATAATATTATTTCAATGTGTTTTATATTTATATTTATACTAAATAAATATTTTATTTAAATATGTTATTTATATGTATATTATTTATATTATTATATATATATAAATATGTTATTTATATTTATACTAAACATATAACAACCCTAAAAATATTTTGACTTTATTAATGTTTTGTAAATGTTCAATTTATTATTGTTTTATAAAATGCAATATCAACAGCAGGCATGTATGAATACATGGAAATGATATCATTGGCTTTTGCAACAGATATAGACTGATAAGAAGCACGAAAACAAGCTGCCATTGGTATATTGGTATTTAATGGTTTTGCAACAATGGTTGATGCTGCTTTCTTGACAGACTTATTTATACGAGCTTGTGAATAATTATCTGAAAATTAATAATTATCTGACTATGAATGTTGTCACATTCTTGAATGCTGGAATGACCTGGCTCGCAGAACTTCTGTTCAATTACTTTTATTTGTGGGTATCATATTATAAATTCACACAAAGCTGCTGACATGAAACTATTGCGGTTTTGTGGTACACATGAATCGAACCAAAGTATGAACTTATTTATGTCAAGGTCAGCCATGATTTTCAAAAGCAAACATGTTACAGCACTGGCTAGATCATTTCCTCCACGACCAGTCATGGCTTCGTGCCAAAGGATGCAATAACCCTTCCTGTTAAGCGAGCAATGACCAGTTAAGTTATAATTTGAAAGTTTTTGTTTGTAATAAAAGTTTCCCACATTAGCTCTAAGCAAATTTAAAACATTTTCAAGGTCAATACAAACAATTGCAGTTTTAGAATCAACATTTTGGCGATCATTTTCACGTTCAGTTTTGGTATCATTCCTTGATTTTATGTGCTTATTATAACTATCTGTTTGTTCATTGCTTGCATTAACAATGTTGCGATACTCATAGCATGTGTCACATAAATCTTTCTTCGGTTTTTGAAATTCTATATTGAACTCGTGATTAAAGATATAACGATACATATGTTCTTTTGCTGGAGGAGAGACATTTTCATCACAATATATTTTATAAAGATCATACACTCTACCTATATTTAGTGATCCTTCCATGTTTTCTTTATGTGTCTTTTTCCTGCTATAATGAGCATCAATTCTCGGGAAAAGGTTAATATGGTCTCGTACAACTTGTTTAGACTCTTCTAGTAACCTTTTTTTAACATGTTTCCCTGATTTTGATTGCAATGGTGTTCCACTAGTTAAAGATTTATTAAACTTTTGAAAGTAAAACACTCTATGGCTGCTAATATTCAATGTTGAAAGATAATATGATTTACCAACTCTATATTGTGTATTAGAAACAAAAAAGCTATAATAATAAGATGTTTTTCTTCTTGAATTGTCACCAGCAGCTGTCCGACAGCGTTTTTTCTCCAGATTTTCAGTAGTTTTAGAATAGAAATGTTTTTTTCCGTTATCATCTAAGGTCCAAAAGTTATCAAATATTATTTGACGCTCAATCTCAGATATATTGGTAGAACATTTAAATTTACAATTTCTGCAACTTTTTAGTGCAACAATAGATCTTTTTGGCATTTGTTCTCCTTTCGTATTTTTATAAGCTTTACCCGACTGACGTTGGATTTTTCTTACACTTTGTTTCCAACTACTCCTATCAACTTTACGTTTCCTAGAAACCCCACCATGGGGCGACCGACGAGAAGGTGTAATGCCAAGCAGCTCTAACGATTAAAATATTAATTTTTTATTATCCAGGATGTATAAATAATAACTTTTAAATTTAATCTAAAATGGCACAAGCGAAAGTCGAATTCTACTTTTCCAAAATTATAATACAAATTAAGTTGAAAAACTAACTTCGTTTTGATTTAGGGCAGGTTCCATTTCTTGGTCAATATTTGCAGTTGCCATTTTGAAAACAACAAAACTGATAAAATTATTCCAAACAACTTTGTAATTGTAATATGATTGGTTGATTGGAGATAGAACAAGATAATATTTTCAAGTTTGCTCATTAAGGAGATAGAACAATGCAATATTGCATGCAATACCGTGTTAAAAGTTTCATTTTTTTTCAATATAATTAAAGTAGAACAACACAATGCTAAAATATTCGAAAATAATAAAATCTCAATTTTTTCAAAAATTGGAGATAGCACAAGATAATTCTAACGTCGCGATATGCAAAAGCATTTTAAAAACTCATTATGATCTTGCAAAGTATGGCATTTCTTTTCTATTCTTGAGAAATAGTTCCTATATTTTTTAATCGACTCTTAAATTTAAGGAAATATAAGTTTTTTACTAAATTAATTAACGAAACTCGCTGTTATTGCTAAAATGTGTTTATAAATATTGTTAAAGCCTTTTAAAGTAGCAACAATTAGGGTAAAGCGGGGCAACATGGCGAATGGGGCAAGATGGGTTTTCGTATAACAACTCGATAAAAATTATACGCTTAAGCTTACTTTTTGCGCCTAAAAAAAAACTCCTCACTTTCGCTTTCTCATAATGGATGGTGTCCTTCAAGTTTAACTTCTTTAGAAGTAGTTTTTTGCAATTTGTGTTTATTTTTTGTTACTTTAGTTAGAGTTATCGGTGGTTTTTAAAATTTTATAAAATTGGAGGTAAAAATTGCATAATAAGTCATCTTGCCCCAATCACGTGACCAGATGACAAGTTTATGAACTTTTTATTTTAATATTTATTTCAGATTGTTATATTTGCAAACGGAAAATTCATGTACGCAATGAATCATTTTAACAACATAAGCATACTCAGAAAGTATTATTGCTTCACGACTGATAGTTTTGCAATAACTTAGAGCTTTCAAAACGTTTGCCATGTTGCCCCGCTTTCCCCTATATACCAATCGGAAACTAATAAATAATCTAAAAATGTACTTATAATTTTTAACTTTTTTGAAACTTGAATAATTTAAATTCTAAAATTGCATTATCCACATTAAATTTTAAAATAGAATTAAACAGTTCTGTGGCAATATTTGCAAGGCGTTGTCTCTTGTTAGGATATTAGAGTTTATTAAAGCCAGTTTCACCAGTTTTCTTTTCCTTTCTTTTACTAAAATTAAAAAAATAATTAGGTTTATTTAGCCGAAATTAATTGTTTATATAATAAACTTAATAAATGCAAAAGAGTTTTTCTCTAATTTATATATTGAACCAAATGGCCACACTCTTCCTTTCACTTCAATGATAGAGTCAGCTCAAACTGAGGGGCAATTTTTCAAAGCATCTATATTTAAAATAAGTATTAATATGTAATTGTTTGGAGTTCGCTTCGTATTTGGAGGTTAGCTATTTCAGAGATCATGAATTGTTGGATTCGCTCCAATCTATACAGATTTTGATCCTATCGTTCTACTGCTGACTTGTTAACCGTTATAACAAAAAAATTCTGTCGTACATTAGATGAAATCTAACTCTTGTTAACCATTTTTTTCTTTTTTGAGAGATTTTGTTCTCTATGTTCATTATATTTGTACTGGTATTGAAAACTGTTGTCATAATTTTTAATTATTTTTCCGCAAACTGCCAACGTAATTAGTGTTCGCCTGAAGCCTTGTTGGAATTAATAAAAACTTTTTGTTCGATATATATGCTTTGCTGATAACCGCAAAGCATATATGCCATTTAAATGTTAAGCAGCTGTTATGTCGTAGAGTCTAGGGATAAATAGAAGGTAACACAAACATGTTTATTTAAATCCAGTGATTTTTTTATTAAATAACCAAGTTTTATTAAAGATAAAATACAAAAGAAAAAATTGTTATTTTTGTAACACCTTTTAATTTATTTTCGAAATTTAATATTTTAAAGTGTTAGAACTCTCAGAAGTATTATTCAAAAATATATAGTTAATTTGCTTTGTTTAAAAGGTTTTCCCTTTTACTCTGCCGCTATTGGTTGCTAAGTTTTTTTCCCGATTCTGTCTTAAAATCGACGCCTTTTAAGTTTTTCAAGTTTGACTTTCTCAAGCGCGACACTTTGAAATTTTCAAGTTTCGTTTACGTATTTGCTCAAGTTTTTTTTGAAGTCTATTTTTTTTTTTTTTTTTTACAACAATCATTATTTTATATTTAAAAAACAATTAATATTTACATTACTCCATCCGCTTTTCACATTGAGTTAAAATAATAAATTAAAAAATTCGTGGTTTATAATATAAAGTGCTATTAACTTATATATTATATATTAATATTGGCTATTAAGCTGTGCGTTTAAAAAATATACGCAAATCCGTAGTAGAACCGGGCTTCTAGGGACTTGCTTGTGGTTATCGTTTAAAAAATATATATTAATAAATTATAATAATACAATGTAGTTGTAAGGAAACTCACAGATAACTTAGAGAAGTCTTTTCATTGAGAACCTTTAAAATACTAAATAAACTGAAAATTTAAAAAGTTAATTTATAAAACACACATTAGGTCTACTGTTCATTGCACTGTAATATTTTAATATGTATAATAAAATATTACTGTAGTTCGACTTGAACTTTGAAGTCGAGTTTCACTCAAGTTCGCTTCTTGCGATCTATCCTATTAGTCAGTGTTAATTTCATTTACTGGAGCTATTTAAAATGTCAAGAAAGTTTGTTCGTGGAGAGAAGGATAAATATTCTTTGTCACAATTATCAAAAAGCAATATAATATTGCGAGCTGCAATATAAAGAAACGTATCCAAACAGAGAAAAATTCAAAACTTGTTTAGTTTTTGATTTTTTTTTAATTTTAAAAAAAATCAAAAACTAAACAAGTTTTGAATTTTTTGATTAGGTTGTTTTTTTGAGTTTAATAATTTTTATCTGGTAATTTTGTGTTTTCAGCTATTTTAAAATTCCGACCCTCCCGTTTATTAAGACCCCCCCCCCTTCCTGTTTGTTTGGCAGGCGAGAGTAATCAACCATGAAATACGAAACAATTAGTTTTTAGTTTAAATTATGTAAAAAGCATAATAAAATTTCCTAAATTCTTACTATCATAACGTTTTCCTAACTCAATAATGACATCATAGACTGTAAAATAAAACTGACCAGAAACTTAATATTAGATGGCAATAACAGAATATTGATTTATTAAACGTAGTATTGAAGTAGAGATCATCCTTTTTTGTATTGTCGTATGTTAAATTATGGTACAAAAATTCAAGGAAGTTCTTAGTTTTACTTTAGTTATTTTTACTTTGTTTTACATAAAGACTACAGAGACAAACTTAGAAATATGTAAACCATATTTTTTTCCAAGATTTCAACAGTGGTTTATATGGGGTCGGTTATACTCTTATTGTATGCATTTAAAGGTAGGTGTTAATAGAATACAATAGTTCTAAATTGTAATAATTATAATTAGTATCATATTTTTTATAAATAGTAACCCTTGTTTTCATATCATGTTTGTATTTATTAATTATAATTATTTAATTTAACCACTCCACATTCACAATTGTTTTATATTATTATATTAAGAAAGTATGTGAGAGAGAGAAGTAGGATATAAAAGAGATAAGTATTAATATCTACATTGCAAAGTATTTAAAAGTAAATTTTCTTAATGTCAAGTATTGTATTTCTCAACATTGCATTTGATATTTGCATTATATTTCTTGCATTTTATTTGCAAGAAATACAATTGCATTCATGCTGCATTTAAAATTAAGGTTGCCTCGCGACTTTTAGTTATTAAGGATTAATAGAATTACAAATGATACTTAAGTATACTCAGTTTGACGTACTTATAAATGTAGATACTCACTACTAAGCATATAAACAGTGATTTAACTAAATCATTAAACTGTTTTGAAATATTACGCATAAGCTTTTTTTATAAAACAAAATAGCAATATTTAACACCAAAAATATAAATATATTTTTGTAGTTTGATGAAATATATTTAAAATAAACTATTCCAAGGTACAAAATATAAGTTATTTCTATTTTAGATATTTGCTTTTAAATATGTTCGTAATAAAATTCTTATTCTTTAAAGATATTATTATTGCTCTTAAAATTATTATTATTGTGGGAGTATTCCCACAATTCACTTTGATGTATTTCACAACAAATCATTTTAATTTGAATAATTTATAATATTACCCAACAATTAAATAAAAATACTCGTAGCAAATTTAATTGCCTTATTTTTAGTCGTGCAAAGAAATTATCTATAAATAAACTTCCAACTTTTGAAGAAGTTCTTAAGTGTTGTTTTATTGAATATAATAAACTAGCCTTGAAATCAAACAACAAACCAGTTAAGCTTTCTTATATTTCAAATAACGTCAACAAGTTAAATTTGTATTTGATAAAACTTTGCAATCTTATGAGATCTCGTAAAAAATTAAGTAAACTACTAAAAACCACGATAAAGAAAAAATAAAGTTCAAAATGAGATTTGAATGTTTAAAAAAAATCATTGTTAGTGCTAGGTATCTCGGGGTGTAAATGTAAAGTTTCGATCAAATTCGTAAATACGAGTATTCTTTTTCAATTATATGTAAGTTGAAAAAAAAGAAAAAAATTATTGAATTAAAATAGTTTTAATTTCAAGTAATGTATGATATTGGTTTATTTGAAAGTGTTGATGTAAAAAAAACATACGAAAAAATGATTAGGGGCCATCCATAAAGGACGTCACTATTTTTTAGACATTTTTTGACCCCTCCCCCCCTTTGTCACCAATTGTCTTTTTTTACTATACCTCCTTTAAAAAGGACGTCATATTTTGAGCTCCCCCCCCCCCCCAATTTAAAAAAAAAATCCTTTCTTAATTTAAGCATTTTTATTGACATTTTTTACATGTGAATTTCTCTATTTAAATATCATTCAGGAGCTGATTAGGTATTTCCGCGTATGTTTTTGCTCCTTTGCCTTTCTGAAAAAGAAAAAAAAAATTATTTATTATTTTAGTCTTATTCTATATATTAAATTTAATCAAAGTGTGTCATGAGAACTTGCCTCACGCATCATCCATCCAAGGATTTTTTAAATAATCATCAATTGATATGATTGGAATAGAGCAGTCGGGTTCGCCTAAAATAGTTGAATCACTCGGAATATGTAGGCCCTCCGTTTTGATTTTGTCCTCATTGAGCAAAGGCCGCGTTCTCCTCTATTGCAATTACAGCCATTAACTCTCTTTTGCGCATGGCGGCAATGCGAACAGGCCTGATTTGCGAAAAAGTAATAGCCATTTGGTTAATAACATTGGAATGAGTAACGCTGACATGCTTTTTGAGCATGACTTGGGAGGCAAAGTACAAGTTACAATGCTTGCAGATTCTCTGAGACAAACTTGATTGCACAGAGGGACAAAACAGATCGTAAGGAGGAAGTTTGAATGATTTCAATGATCGAGGAATGGTGCTCTGAATATTGGAAGCGATAAGAAAAAATACAGAAGGAAAACGGTTCTTGCTGGCAACATCTGAAATAGCTACAGCTTTCAAGCCATCTTCTGACTAGCTAATTGGAATAGGTGGAGGCAGAAATCGACCAGGAATAACATGGAAGTAAGAGCTCCTTTTCAAAGCGCAACATCCGGGATCTTCACATTTCACAATTGGCGTGAAATATTGACTGGTGCGCACATGAGAGGCAAACCAGTCCTGATCCTTTGATAAGAGATTATGAACATCGAGCTCCGTCTTGTTGTCTGGATCAATATACTCGGCCACCGTTGGAAACTGATCAATCATCAGACCTGAAAAGACCGAGGCACAGCTATTTCCAGCAAATTTAAAGTTCTGATTCTCCAAAAGAAGATCCACTGTCCTGCCTTAAATATAAGTCGCAAGGCATATAATTATTTCTTTAAGCCTTGTATACATTTGTATTTTGATAAAGAGTTGATATTAAAAATGAATTTGAATACCTTTAGAGTCTAGATGAGTTCCATAATGATCATGAGGTAAGATCAATCCCGCCAACTCTTTACTCAGTGGAGCCATCCTTCTTTCGGCTCGATTGAAAGCACTCCGTCCTGGCGCATTCGTCATGATGAATAAGGCATCCAAATCATTTGTAAGGAAATAATGTATTGCTGTAAACAAAATAAATATTTAAATTAGAAGAAACATAATTATATTGATAGATCGCAATAAAAAACTTGAAAAAGAAGGATATACCAATTTCAATGACTTTGTCGTATCGTGGAATTTCATCTGGTCCACCATCAACACTGAAGACAACTACTGGCTTGACCAACTTGGTCAAAGGATCTTTTGTAATGGAATCAAACTCTGGCAGAGTCAAAAGTCGTTCAAAGTCCAATCCGTGAGCATACGCTGTCGATGATGAATGCCTATAGGGATCCGAGTTTTATCGTCTTGACTTATAAAGCACACATCCTTTGGGACCAAAAAAGAGCAAACTTCTTCCACATTCTTTATAGTTTGCTGTACAAAATGGACCATCCACGTGACTTGAATGGAGGTCATTTTGAGCCCGCATCAACTTGACTGGAACCGTGTGGACATGTCTCTTTCCTTCAAGCAAATCATTCCATTTTGGCAGCAAACGAGTATATAAAGCACTTCTGCTAAGATGGTAACATCTCTTTTCGAGCTCGGCACCAAGCTCATCCAACGATTTAAGGCTCTTTAAAAGTAATTTAAAAAAATTATCAGTAAACAGAGTACAGTGTTTAGAGGCTGAAAAGTTATAATGAGACCTAATATAGTCGAATAGAATTTTTTATTAGCTAAAGTTGTACCCAATACACTTCAGATTGTCTTTTATCGTGGGCAGCAGATCCACGTTCAGCAAGTTGTATGATGACACGCAATATCTCAGATTGTTCTACCTCAATAGTAGGGCGACCGATTCCGTTACGTACTTTAAGAGTATTTTTTCACTTTCGGATGGTCAGCAAACACCTACAGTACCAAAAAAAATATACAAATAATTTTGTTAATGTTTTTAGTTAATGTTCATTTTCTAAAATAATATTATTGTAACTTATTATTATATGATATAAATATTACCTGATTCATGACAGTTTTCTTTCAGCCCTTGATTTTTGTTTTGACTTCATGTTGCCGATCAACTTTTTAAGATTAGTCGTGAGTTCCTGGACATTGGCCTTCTTCTTTTTAAAGGTTTCTTCTTCAGCATCGGTCCATAAGCCACTTCTTTTTCTGCTCTTCATAGCAACTATTTCTTGACTCAAAACAACGATTTCTGCTTTGATTGTGTCTTGAGCATGAGTCTTGGCCTTCTTTGTCTTAATTTGAACTGTGCTTAGGATGTCAGTGCGAGAGACATCTGACGTGGTATCATTGATATCTATCGGCTCAATAAGTTGATCTGTATTGGACTGGAACTATAAAGCGGAATAACTGGAATGGGAAGGAACAGATCGCTTGGTTGTTTGATTGGCCCAAAATGACATTATAGAACCTTTTTGTTTCAATACCATTGAGGTATACTTTTAGATCAAAGTCTTTACTTGATCCTCCAAATCTTTCTTTTCTTTGATCTCATTCCATATTTTATGGACTTTTTTTGACTATCGGCTTTTCTCTTAAACGGACGAGCATTATTGTACAATTTTATAAGCAAATTTAGAAGACTATTTTTATCCATCCTTTGATATACAGACAACAATTTTGTTTGACACTTTTGCCACACATTGAAAAAATAACAAAAAAATATGCTCTATGTAATGATTGCTGCATAACCAATTCCCTTTGGACAACCATTTGTAATATTTGCTTTAGACAATCATTAATAATTGCTACACAAGCAATTCTCTTGCCTGCTACACAAGCAATTACCTTCAGACAAATATTTGTAAAACTCTATTTAAAAATCATAAATGATATCAATACTATGTCCTTGGGGACGAATTTCGCAAAAAGAATTTGAACAAAAACCCGTAGCGCGTAACTAGTGATATATTTCTCGTAATGTGATACGAGAAACTACCAAGTGTTTAGCAATATATAATTAATTGTAATATATTTATATTGTATCACATATATCACAGGTATATAAACTTTATATATAAAAAAATAATATTTAAATAAATATCAACACGAATTTCTTTCTTTTATTACAACGTAACATTCACTTACGATAACTTTAGAAAAATAAATGTTAACATAAAAATAATAAAATTCTATAAAGTGACGTCCTTTTCTGATGACCCCCCTCCTCCCCCTTGTCCTTCTTTGTCCTTTTAATTTTGACCCCCTCCCCCCCCTATTTGCATGACGTTCTTTATGGATGGTCCCTTATTACAACATTCATGCTGAAACTATTCAAATGAAGCACTAAAGCAAAACGAGGTAGTGATGCCTTC